CGTTAACATGGTTCCCGGATTGCCAACCAACGCACCGGACCAGATGTGCAGGCGGAGGGGCGCAGCGCCTCACATTCCAAGCCTGCGGCCCCTTCCGCCCACTTTCACGCGCAACCACCCTACCCCCCGCGCTCTCCCTCCCGCCACACCTCTCCCACCTCCTCCGCCTCCGCACCCTCCTCCTCGCTCGCAGCCCTGCTCCGCAGCAAGGGCGTGCTGTGGGAGTCCGAGTGCCGCTCGCGACGCTTCACCTTCCACCTCAGCAGTCTGGAGGGCCCCTGGGAGGGCCCGCCCCGCAGCTGCCTGGTGCTCATAGGCAGCGAGGAGGCTGCCGTGCGGCGACTGATGCGCGCGTTTGAGGCGGAGGTGCTACAGCAGCAGCAGCGGGGGGGCGCGGCGGTGGTGGCGGGGGAGGAGGCAGCGGGAGGGGACGCTTCGGGCGGTGCATCGAGAGACGGAGGTAGCGGGTGAGGGCGGGACGGAGGCAGGGGGAGCGCCAGCCGAGGCGGGAAGCGGTGCGATTGAGGAGGAGGCGGATGTGGTGGGGGAGGTGGCGGCGCTGATCGCTGATGGCAATGAGAGGTAGGAGGTGTTGGGGGTGTGGGGCAACAGCGGGGAGGAGGTGTCGGGGGCGCTTGGCGGCAGCAGCAGCAGCTGCAGCAGTATTCTGCAGTTCACGACCCGTGGGTCAGTGCTGCACGGCATCCACGCGGAGGAACTCAATGCGGAGCTGCCGCGTCGCGCCAATGCGAGTGGGCGGCTGCTGCTGGCGGGCGTTACGTCGCCGGGACACGTCAGTGCGGTGACCAACACCCAGTCGAGGGACAGGTGAGAGGCCGGGGAGAGGGGGCGTGGGGGCCGGTTGGAGGGGCAGGGCGAGGGCGATAATGCGCATGCATGGGCGGGCCTTGACCACCCCTAGTGGGTGTGCTCCACCCAAGTACGGCTCCCGAGCTGCTGCCACCCTCATGTTCAAGGGCGTGCCGGATAGCCAATGCGGCAGCTTGCGTGGGAGCCAGGTGACGTCCTGCTTTCCTGCAGCTGTAGAGGAAGAGGCTCTGCTCTCCCAGAGGGCCCACCCCAGAGGGGCACCCCACCCCCCATTGCTTCCCCCCCTTCCTGCCCCCTACCTTTGCTTTGCCCTAACCTATGGCCTGGGGATTACGGTCGTACCAGTAGTGCACCCCAACATGCATGCACATATGCACCATCTTACCACGGTTCCCGCTTTCCCACTACTAACAAAGTATCGTCCATCTGGCTGCCAGCAGCAGTGCCCGGCCGCTGCACCGTGGCTCCTTGCACCGCCTGCACGCCCTCGTCCTCACCTCTCGTGAGGTCACCCGCTCCTCCCCGTCCTTCCCCCTGTTCTCACCCCTCAGCTGCTGCTGACTGCCAGCGGTGTGATGCGCGGTCCCAAGAAGATCGACTGGGAGAGGATATCGGACAAGGGTCTGGACCTGTGCGCCATTTGTGCCAACACGGGTGAGGAGCAGCTGCAGAGCTCTGAAAGCCGCTTCCTTCCATCACTCAGCCCCCATAACGGCCATGTTGGCTAGTCAACTTGTCCCATTGCAGCAGCTGAGCCAATCCTGCTTGCACTCGGGTGCCGTACCATATCACTCGGCGGCCTCTTTACCCCTTCCAAATCACCTCCCCCCCTCTCCCCTCTGATGCCTTATCACACGGTCAGCTAGGTGTTGCCTCTTTATCCCCCACTACCTTGCAGGTGGAGCATGTGCTGGTGTACGAGAACGACAACGCCGTGCCCGCCGTTGACTGCCCCTTCACTGCCGGCCGCGACCGCTGGTGGCAGTCGGAGGTGGCGCAGCAGTCCACCAACTGCCCGGTGGAGTGGGTGGAGGCGGAGCACCCGCTCTTCCTGCTGTACACCTCGGGATCCACCGGTAAGAAGAGGAAGGCCGGAGTCGCAGCTGCTGGGGTTGCTGCTGCTGCTGCCGTTGTTTTAGTGGTGCTTCGCATCCTCTAATGTGCTCGTAGCCACATCCCCTCATCACCGCCCTCCATGAATTGCGCAGCCCTGGCCCTCCACCCTGCGCACCGTGTACGGCGACCACGAGCGCTACCAGTCCAACTACTTTGGGCCCTTCCCGGGGTACTACTTCACCGGTGACGGCTGCCGCCGCGACGCCGACGGCTACTACTGGATCACGAGTCGTGTGGATGACGTCATCAACGTGTCGGGCCACCGCATCGGCACCGCGGAGGTGGAGTCGGCGCTGGTGGCGCACCCCGCCTGCGCGGAGGCGGCGGTGGTGGGCTACGACCACCCGGTGAAGGGGCAGGGCATCTACGCGTACGTGACGCTGATGGAGGGCACGGAGACCAGCAAGGAGCTAAAGAAGGAGCTGGTGGCGGCGGTGCGCAACACCATTGGCGCGTTCGCGGCGCCCGACGTGATCCACTGGGTGAGGAGGCCGGGTGGGGCGGGAGGTGGGCTGGTTGGCGTTGAAGGTGCGGTACTGGAGAAAAGGAGTTGACGCGGTTGCCCCAAGGACTTGCATTGCTGTTGGCCCAACCATCCCAACCTCCCTGGTCCGCCCCTCGCTCAGGCTCCCGGCCTGCCCAAGACCCGCAGCGGCAAGATCATGCGGCGAGTGCTGCGCAAGATCGCCTCGAAGGAGGAGGACCAGCTGGGCGACACCTCCACCCTGGCCGACCCAGGGGTCGTTCAGGTGCTGGTGGACCTGCGCGGCAATTAAAGGCAGCAGCAGGACCAGGGTCCTCGGTCTCTGCTTGCATGCCTAGAGCGACATGATGTCACATGGGAACATGGCCACGTCGATTCGGTGCAAGTGTTTTTAAAGGCTGTGGGCGAGGCTTGTAAAGTGAAGGGCATGGATGAGAACGGATAAAGCGGTATTCATATAAGCTGGGCTTGAAGAGGCTCTTGGTGGTTAGGTAGATATCCCGTTGGATTGGTGTGCGTGTGTGGGTATATGTTTCGAATGCTGCTGATGTGACCTGGAGAATTGCGAGTGAGAGAAGGCTAAGCATGCGACGCGGATGGTCTTCTCTTAAGGGTTTACCGCCTGCTGCCGTCGGCTTGCCGTGTGGTATGATAAGAGTCGACCAGAGAGATTCCCCGGTTGGTTTTTGGAAGGGGCCCTGATGGCTTTCGGTGCGTCGTTGCCGCCAGCTTTTGGACCTCTCAGCCACTCTCTCGGCGCTGTGGTTGCGCTGAGGGCTGTGGCAAGTTGGGCTTTGGTTTGCCTTGCCTTCCGGTGTATCCAGGGCTTTTGCGTTTGTTCGGCGGACAGTATGTGGCATACGTCCGCGTAGGAGCCGCTTTTTGAATTTGGTTCGACTCTCCTCCGTGTTGTGCTACGTGTGTATGGAGCTTGCGTGCTTCTCGAAAGAAGGTTAGCGCCCTGCTAACAGAATATTTACAAAATCAGGTCACACGTCGGCAACAGGATCTTTATAAGCTCCAAGTCGCTTCAACGCTGGCTTGCGGTACCTTATCTAGTAGTAGAGTCACATGTGTACGGAGGCTTCGGTGCTGAATATGCTCTGAAGTAGGCACGGGGTGGGGGTTTTTTGCTATGGTTTATTTCCTTTCCTCTGAGGACATGAGGAAGACCATAAGGGGTTATACTCTGGCTGGAGTGTGAAAGGGCTGCTGCCGTGCCGCTCGTGAGCCGGTGTGCATCTAGTGGCTTGGGGTATGGGAGCTGGCCTGCGCCTTGGGGCAGCGAGCGAGAGCGGGTGTGGTAGTGCTGTGTTGGAGCTGGCGTTGCGTGTTCCTCGATGCAGGTGTAGTGGGCGGTTTAGGGTCGATGCATGTGACTGTGACTAGTGCTTGATAGAGAGGGGTAGGGTTAACTGAGGTGGATCGCCGAGGTAAGGGCCTGTTTGGCTGGAGAGTGGGCGTCACCCGCGCAACCGACCTTTCGGGTACCTCGGGTGAACAGCTCCAGTGGAAGTATGGGGCAATTTGTAAACGATATGTCCCAGTGCTTGTCAGGGCTGGCAGCCCAGTTACCGGTGCTGTCGTACATTGTACGACACTGGACTCGTAAGCACCTGTCCCGCCGCAGCTTGTGGTCTCTACAGCGCAGCACCCTGCGCATCAGTGCTTAGCACCCGAATCTTGCTCTCGAGACTTGTTGGGCTCGTTGTGACGAATACCGGTTGGACATGCGAGGCGAACAGGGCCCTAATTCCTTCCATACAACAAAAAGACTCCTACCTCGCGTACGGACCCCTCCTCAAAAGAATCTCGCAGGTATGGGGGGATGGAGACGCCCGGCACGCAGCTGTCACGCCATGGTCAGTATGAATTCTTCGGCCAGTTAACTTGTATGACACCGAGCATGATAGCGCAAACCGCCAGCCAACCAAGTCGGATAGAGGCCGACCACCGGCCACCAAGGAAGAGCAGCATCCAAGCAGAAACCGCGCGACAAATCTCAAAAGCGCGCTGAGTCACACCCGCCACCAACAGCCCAAACCTCAAAACCACGAGCTAATCACCAGCCCCTAGGACCGCCTGTCAACCCCTGCCTTCCCAGACGCGGAGAGAGAGCGCAGCGGAGCAGGTAGGGGCGCATAAGGGCAGCTGTCGCGCCCATACGCCGGCTTGCACACCTAGCGCCACTGGGGTCCATACTTGGTCCCCTTCTCTCCCCGGTTGCACAGGGAGGGGCGCACCTAGATCTCCTGAGACCAGGTTAGCGCCACCCGGCAGCCTTGTGCTGCAGTCTGGGGTCCGACAGCAAGGCGGCTGGGCCACAAGCTGACCAGGCCTGCGAGGGACGGTGATCTAGATTAGTACTAACTACTACGGCTATTCTTGGCTACTATGGCTGTTGGATCACGCTAGTCAAGTGGCCACGCAACTACGCGCATACAAGCTGGTGGCTCCTGCAGGAAACCACGACAAGTGGGGATCAAGCACTGTCTTTACAACTTGCGTAACTGCGAGCTGTGCGCGACGCCCTAGCCCGGGCGCCGCGCTGCCTAACAGGAAAGCCACTCGTACGACAACCTGATGCGATACGCCGTACACGTATCTTCTGCTAGATAGCGAGGCCCAAAGCACAGGAGCCATCACACTACCTACAATATGTTCAGAACCACATGTCACCTTCATAACAAGCAATCCCTGCAGTCATAACTTGACCGAACCACAGGACACTTTGCCACGGTCGCACCCGCCTCTGCCGACAGAATGAACATGCCGGTAACGGGGCGCGACAGCTGTCGCGCCCATACGCCGGCTTGCACACCTAGCGCCACTGGGGTCCATACTCCCCCCCAAAACCAAACCAGGCCTAGGGGGTTGGTTGTACCGCGAGGACCCCAGCCACACCGGCAAGGACACAGGCATGACAAGAACGCAAGTGCACACAGCAGGCCGCACAATCACACCACATAAAAAGGCATGGCCCGCGCACGCAATGGTTGACCACCCGTTCGTCCAGGGCGCCATCCGCCCGTCTCTCAGGCCGTCCGTCCGAGCCACATGAACCGTTCTTCCAACCCCCAGGATCCGCCAACCTCGCCGGTCAGGAAGGCGCCCTCAGCGGCACCCCCTCATACCTCCATCTGCTCTCCCTTCTCCTTCACCTCCTGGTTCCACTTCAACCACCCACGACCTACCAACCAATTCCTCGCTTCCTCTTCCCTCAACTGCCCTGACCCGCCGTGCACACCGGCGGCCGTCTTCCACACACGACACCCCTGGGCCTCAGCACAAGCTCACGGGGCCCTGCCCCCCCAGATACAGTCCCAGCGCCACAGCGCCCGCAGCTTCCCCACAAGGGGCATGAACCTGGGGCCCGCAGGCCGAGTCACCCCTGGAGGCCAAACCCCGCTGCCTCCCGGCCCCCTACTCACTGAGAGAGCCACTCCCGCACGCCTGCCAAAGTGGTCTGCTCCAGGCCTCCATCCTCCCATGCCACCAGAAGGTACAAGGGCCTCATGACCGCGCCCAAGTACTGCACCACCCCACACACCACCTGCTCCCCTTCCCGACGCACCCGTCTCCCCGCCAGGGCTGCAGCCTCCTCATCGCAGCGCCGCGTCTCTGCCCGAGGGAACAACAACCTGCCAACCTCCTCCCCCACAGCTACACGACCCCGAAATCCGACTCCCTCCAGCGCCAGGCCCATGCGCGGGACTTGGACAGGCACGCCCTCCGCCATCTGCAACCCCGCCGATGCGCTGGCAGCGGCCTCCGCCTCCGTTGGCGCCACGGCGACGTCCTCAACCGCCGACACCAGGGCCACCGCCGCTGGCGCAGCCGCCGCAGCACGCGGCGGCCGCCCTCGGCGGCGCGCCCCTCGGCCGGCGGACACCGCCTATGCCGCCTCCGCTGTTGGGGGAACCGCCAGATCACCCGCCGCCGCTCCAGCAGGCGGCGCGGCGCTTGGCTGGGACCCCGGCGGCGCCGCCGCCAGTCGTGACGGCCGCCCGCGCCGGCGCCTCCCCTTGCCTGCTCCGCCCGTCGTCCCTTCCGCCCCCTGCGCAGGCGACACCGGCGCCGCCGCCTCCACCCCGGTCGGGGTCAGCAGCGGTCCCTGCGTCTCCAGCGCAATGGTGGCGTCTCGCCCCCTCTGATCCAACTCCCGGCAGCGCGGACACAACCACTGCCCTCTCGGCTTTCCCCGCAGACCCAGGCAATCCCAATGCCAGCCCGTGTTGCAGCCGTCGCACACGGCGGCGGCCGCCGGTACTGTCCCGCCGCAGCTTGTGGTCTCTAAAGCGCAGCACCCTGCGCATCAGTACTTAGCACCCGAATCTTGCTCCGAGACTTGTTTATCTCGTTGTGACGAATACCGGTTGGACATGCGAGGCGAACAGGGCCCCAATTCCTTCCATGTAACAAAGAGACTCCTACCTCGCGTACGGACCCCTCCTCAAAAGAATCTCGCAGGTATGGGGGGCTGGGGACGCCCGGCACGCAGCTGTCACGGTCAGTATCAATTCTGCGGCCATATCTAGGTAGTGCTCCCGCAAAGCAACAGAGCCCGCACTCCAGCCGCCAAAGCTCTCCACCACTTCAACAGGAACACCCACTGCTCGAGCTGCAGACGCACCACCACGCCGTAAACTATGAAGGGTATGGATACCAGCCAGCCGGGACAGACCACAACGCTCCAGGACCAAGCGGAACCACTGCTCGCCCCCACACGTGGACTGCCGCTGTGGCCACAACTGCCCACAACGCAGGAACTGCTGAACTAACGCTGCTTGTAGAAAAGGAAGGCCACCCAAAGGAAACCGCAGCACCGGTGCTGACGCTGGCGCCACAATGCGGCCTTTCCAATTCAGCAGCTTATACTGCAACACTGGCACGGAATCAACCTCGACCACTTGCGACCAACAAATGGAGAACAAGGAATCAGGACGCAGGAAAAGACAAAAGCCCAACACGTCAGCTAAGAGGGGCACAAACACATCCGACGAAACGATAACCCCGGAAGCTGCTCATACAGGTGCCAAACATCACGAGCGCTAAGGGCCAGAACTAACGAGGAAGCCGGGCTCAGCGCTACCTGCAGCCGCTCCCAGCCTTTACGGAAGGCACAGAACAATACATTATCACCTGCACACGGCTTAGGAAAACCCAACAACTCATGAGCAGTATTGACCGCACTAAAATAAGGCTGGGCCGTGCGGGCCTGAACCGTACCCTTGGCTGCCAAAGCCTGGGCCCACAACAAACCCGTGTACTGCGACGCAGGCAAGAACTCCACACCTTCTTCCACACAGCAACGCACAAACGCCGCAAACTGCGAGGAATAAGAACACCGAGCATGATAGCGCAAACCGCCAGCCAACCAAGTCTGATAGAGGCCGACCACCGGCCACTAAGGAAGAGCAGCATCCAAGCAGAAACCGCGAGACAAATCTTAAACACGCTGAGTCACACCCGCCACCAACAGCCCAAACCACAAAAACACCACGAGCTAATCACCAGCCCCTAGGACCGCCTGTTAACCCCTGCCTTCCCAGACGCGGAGAGAGAGTGCAGCGGAGCAGGTAGGGGCGCATAAGGGCAGCTCCTCGCTGCAGCTCCGGCCAGAGATAGAAAGATAGGTGTAACGTCCCAGGCAGCTCCGAAGCCGTACAGATAAGTCCCTAAATCCGATTCAGTCGTTCGTAGCCAAGCACATGCTCTATACGTACCACACAGATATATCCTCCCTCAATGACAAAAAACCCGAAACCCAACTACATAGCACCGAAGATGTCAACTAAAGGTGCCAAAGCCGCATAACAACACGTATACATGATCGCATCTTTAACAAAACCCGACCCCTTGTTAACTGATCGTCGAGCCCAGCTGTTTGGCGCGCCCCAAGTATATTACCACATGCCCTTGCCTTATACGGGGCACAACGCCCCCACACAAGAGGCCACTCGAACGTCATAGCGCTGGGCTGCATGTGTGCCATTAACTTGATGTGCTGTAAATGCAAATGGTTTTGTCATCGCCGCCGTTGGCCAGCGACCGGCCATCCGGGCTCCATGCCACGCTGTTGATGTTGCCATCATGTCCCTGGATGGGGGCAGCATTGTGGAAGGAAGAGTGACCACCCAACAGGCCCAAGCTACTGCAAAGATTTTCGAGAGAAGACGTGCTTTTAATAGCAATGCAACAAGCCAATGCCTGAAGATTGTTAATATGGGGGGGGGCTAAACTCCGATAATTAAGTATTTAAATACAAGAAATTGGTGAGACCCTTCCCGGAACCCCTCCATCCTACAGACCATAAACGCAATTTCCTCTCCTTGCCGTACGTCAAAATGTCCCAGGAAAGAGTAATGGAGTCCTATGTGTGTCCTCTTCTGCTTATAGATATTATCTTGCTTTTGCACCTATTTGGTCATGCCATGGCCATGCCATGAAACCTTATGGTCAGCAAAGGGTGCACCACCTTGCACTTGCTTTCCCAGACCTACTGCGCCATTACCAGCAACTACCAGGGCTAAAATGACTTGCCACGGCTGGCACGGCCCCACCTACCTGCCGCAATCGTTGGCTGCCTGCAGCACCTTCTCGACCCGCGTGCCAATGACATTTCGCACAAGAAGCGTGACGCTGTGGCCCCAAGCGCCGCAACTGCTGCTGACAGCTCTCCTTTCCTCTTCCCTATCCATGCTGCCGTCCCCTAGTGGTTTAGTAACGGGTCAAATAAACTTCTCCCGGCTAAGAACAAACTTTCAGTCGTGGCATCTAGCTGTTCTGACGCTTTGTCACCAACCATGGCGCGTCATGCCTTCATCACAAACCTAACCCAAGTAAGATGGATAACCGCCCTAAGGGACATCGCCCCCCCAAGCCGTTTCGCGGGGGGGGGGGGCGCTCCGCTTAAAAGAGTTGAAAGGCATACTTCCCGTTCCTCTCAGAGGTATCACTGTGCGGCTGAGACGAAGAGGGAACCAAGGGCGCCTGCTGACCACCTAACCGAGGCCAAGACACCGCACAGCAGGGGCATACGCCGCCCTGGTAAGATGACTGACGAGGTGTGGTGCACCGAACCAGCTAAAGGACAGGCAAGGGCCTAGCAGGGGCCAAATCGTCTAAAGCGACTGACGTAGGACGGATGGGGGGGCCGAGCGACTTGTTTCCGAGCATGCTCAGAGCCCACAATCCGGGCGTAGACCTAACTCACAGCGAGCGAAACAACCAGGAGCCAACGCACCCGCCCACAACCAATACCGTCCATTGTAATCCGTCGTATCCATTATATGTTGCATATCTACGTACTCATGGGTTTTGGTCGGGACATGTAAACAGTATCGGCGTTTGATAACTTGCGTCCAGATACCTGGCATTGCCATGCCTGCTGGCTGCCAAGTACGCCCACCGCCTCACCTTCAGTGTGGCAGTGCACTCGCCGCTGGCTGCATCCCACAGCCGGATGGTGTTGTCATCGCTGCCACTGGCCAGCGACCGGCTGTCCGGGCTCCATGCCACGCTGTTGATGCCAAAATGATGTCCCTGGATGGGGGCAGCATTGACGGGTGACCGTGGAGTGGACCAAACCTAGAGCTAAGACATTTGTGTTGATACCAGAGCAAGAGCGCAACTATCCATCAATGTAACAACACACGAAGCTACTGTAACGTGAATACTAAATACTCGGCTAAGACCGTAATAAAAACGGAGGGAGCTGTAATAATTATTGACTTGAATTCACATCTGGATTTGGTTTCACCCCTTTCTCGTTCCAAGGTCGTACGGCCTTTCTTCCAGTGGCACACCATGCAGTTCTTATGGCCGGTAGAGAGTTCACCCCCTCTCTCTTGCTCATAGGACTAGGCCTTTGCTCTAGCTCCGCCGTTGCTCAGTAAACTCAACCTCTCAGCATTCTCAGATAGTTGTCTCTTTAACGTTGGCAAGGTGGAACCAAATTACTTTGTGTGTGTATATATCTACTGAGTAGAAGCAACTGCTGGACAACTGCATCCCACTCTCTGAGAGGTTACACTGCTGTGGGGCTGCGACGAAGAGGGAACCAAGGGCGCCGAACCACCTAACTGGGCCAGCAGCAGGGGCACATACCGTCCTGGTAAGGCTACCTGGCTGGCAAGGTCACCAAAACAGCCAGAGGAGAGGCAACAGCCCAGCGGGGGCCAAACCGACCTAGCCCTTGACATAGGACAGGGGGAAGGAGAGCCCAGCTGACCAGAGCCACCTAAACGGTTTCCGCAACCAAGCGTAGCAATTGCGGAAACCGTGGTTTCCTATGTTCGTACAGCAAAGCGGTTGGGATGGTCGTACGGTTGTACGACAGCGTGAGCAGTGTCTTAGGGAACGCGGTTGCGTTGAGTTAGTAATTTCGCGAGCTTGTTCGTCAGATCTGACACTGCCGTGTCACATCGCACCTGCAGGGTGGCAGTGCACTCGCCGCTGGCTGCATCCCACAGCCGGATGATGTTGTCACGGCTGCCGCTGGCCAGCGACCGGCCATTCGGGCTCCATGCCACGCTGTTGATGCCAAAATGATGTCCCTGGATGGGGGCAGCAATATGGAAGGGTGACTGTGGAAATAATCTACCGCAAAGGCATTTGCGTTAACCATTAGAGCAACGCGTTATCCATCAAAGAGTGTAAATATAGTACTTGTTGAGCTAGAAGCTAAGAAAGTAGCTGCTTAATGACACATTACAATGTGCCATCGAGAACCCACGAGCATAATCGTCTAGACAGTCTGCATACGTGGAACGTATTGCAAAAGGTATGTCTAGGGTGGTGATGGCCTACACCGTCAGTGTAGGCTGCTTTACTGATTCGTTTGCATTCTCTAACGGGGATATACTCTATTGTATAAGCTACTGACGTACTTCTCTCTGAGAGGTCACACTGCTGTGGGGCTGCGACGAAGAGGGCGCCGAACCACCTAAGCGGGCCAGCAGCAGGGGCACACGTCCTGCCGGCAAGGCGGCCTGGCTGGCAAGGTCCGCAGAAGGAGCGGGTATACGTACAGCCTAGCGGGGACCTAAACGACCTAGACTCTTGACGTAGGACCGAGCGAGGGGAGGCTCGACACAACCAGGAGCTGTGGCCCAGTTAGCCAGAGCCACCGCGCCCATATCGTTCCATCATTAGACCACGTAAATTGTGTTTACGTCGGGTAGAAACTACTACCCCCTCTTCCAGCGAAAACCTTAGCCACAAATCCTTGACGACTTTGCACTTTGCAAGCAACGCGTCTTTAACCCAGTACTTGCGTCTATCATCTGGCACTACCATGCCTGCTGGCTGCCATGTATGCCCACCGTCTCACCTGCAGGGTGGCAGTGCACTCGCCGCTGGCTGCATCCCACAGCCGGATGGTCTTGTCATCGCTGCCGCTGGCCAGCGACCGGCCATCCGGGCTCCATGCCACGCTGGTGATGTAGTCATCATGTCCCTGGGGCCAGCAATATGGAGGGGCGACCGCGGAATGTATCAAGGTTGAAGCATACAAAGTGTAACATGGCTACTCAGGCAACCAAAAGGAAACAACCTCACGACATCACGAAAGGTTTTATGTTTGGGACCTTCGTGACAGAGTACAATAAGAACATGAGGGGAGGGGACTACTGGCTGCCATGTATGCCCACCGTCTCACCTCCATCGTGGCAGTGCACTCGCCGCTGGCTGCATCCCACAGCCGGATGGTCCTGTCACTGCTGCCGCTGGCCAGCGACCGGCCATCTGGGCTCCATGCCACGCTGCTGATGGTGTCATCATGTCCCTGGGGGCAGCATCATGCATGGAAGGGCGACTGTGGAATGGACCAAGGTTGATGCACGCACAGTGTAACAAGGCTACTCATCAGGCAACCAGAGGAGGGGAGGGGAATGCGAAAAACATTTTTTGCATAATAGCAGGTAATTAGTTCACAAACATTTCACGGGATGTGCCGGTGATTTCCGTGATACCTACTTAACGCGGCCTGCTAGCTTACACGATGTAGACTGCAGCCCCACGACGCCGAGAGCCAAGCATTCCATAAGGCCCCTGAAACCCCTGTGCCCCACTCGGCGTACCCCCACGGACCGCCCGCTGTTGCCATAACTGCCTTTCCTGCCACTCCCCCAGTGTTACAATCCGACATGTTCTCTTGGATGTCGCCCCCGATGTCATGCCATACTCCCCACTTTCTCTTCAATGTTTATGACCATCCCCGCCGTGTTTATAGAATGCAATAATCATACTGACTTGGTTCCAATGTCTTCGCGCATCTACTCAACACCTCCTTAACGCGCCCTGCTTCCTTTTTCCCCTATCATCTTGCATACTGACAACCTCTTCTCCTTTCCACTCGGCGGTGGACCATGCCCTGCTGTGGCATTGCCGGCCTGCGTCTACACTCCTTGTGTCCATGACCAGTGATTGTTTTGAGCGATATATCGCTTTCTAAACGATAAATAATTGGTCTAGGTTCCCAGGAAAAGCGATAAGCCCCTTGCAATGCCGTATTTTCATTGCGACGGTCCTTAAGGAAGACGCACAGCCACTTCGGCAAAAAAAACTGAACTACACATACAAAGAGCAAGCTTTGAAGATGGACGGCAATAAGAAGTTAGTGCAGCCAGACATTGGCAAGTTCATGACAGGACCATCGGCAGCAAAGTTCACTGTTGCGCAAATTCGGGGTCCTGGAAGGCCTCTATTGGCAGAAACTCAGCCTTCGGTTGAAACTGCTGCGGAAACTGTGGAGGATATGGTCAAGGAGGGGCCGAGTCAGCTGGTCAATGATGGCGACAACGACGCGGCCACGTGAAACGCATATGAACTGCATACAAGACAATTAAAGGCTTGTGTTTGTGAGCTTGGCCTTTCCGTACTTTGGAACGCTATCGTACGTATTATCGGGGGGGTCTGGGGGAGCGGAGCAAAAGTTGTAAAGCGATAAACTGACGTGAAGGCCCAAATTCTATCGCTCACGGTGCGATGAAAAATTACCCCCCAAAATTGAAAAAACAAGGGGGTTCAGCTTCCTCAAAGTTGGAAAAGGGCGGAGCCCCTCCTGTTGAGTACAGGAACGTAATACTGGAATAGCACGGAGCGCGCTCCTGTGACTCCACGGCACCAGTTGTCGTAACACACCTTCCTACACGGACGCTGAACCCCATTGCTTACTGTATGCGGACGCGGACACTGAACCCCCTTGTTTGCTGTAGTTGGAGTGTTCGTTGCATGGCTAGACGAGCTCAGAGCCCCTTGTCCAGGCGAGGCCGGCCGCCATGGCGTACATAGTGTCCGCACTCATTGTTAGATAGGTTACACCTGTTCAATCGAGTACTTAGTAACGTCTTATCATGCTCGATAACACCCACGCATTAGGCTACAGAACCCAAATCGACGGCGCAACTGCCACATGGGAGTGCTTTCAGGGTCCCGCAGGTCGTTTAGGTTTCACCTACATTACTAAAATGATGAGGAGGTCAGGCTCGGCAATGTCGGCGTCGTGCTCTTAAGGACTTCGGCAATTGCACCGGAACATCGCGATTAGCTTCTAGGCGAGGTGCCTGTTTGCGTTACAGTTCATAGGCATTATGGCGAGCAAACGAATAGCAAAGGCCAGCAACATCGTCTCAAAGGATTGTGTGGGCTCCGCGTAGCACAGTCGATGCATGCAGGCATGCTCCCGCCGACTTTCACAGGTTGCCCTTTGGCGACACGCCGCTGTTACCAATTCACTGAATACTAATTACGGTACCAGTCCAAACCATAGAGGAGCGCTAATCGGTGTTGCCGCGGTGGTCCTTTTCAATTGCTAGTCAATAATTTGTTTATTGCAAAATCAAGTTTGTTTGGCTTGCAGTTATTTTTACTGAATGTAGATAACAATATCTATTAGGTGTAATTAATAGTTTGGTTTAGTTTGTATGTTTTGACGTTACGGACGGACGGACGGACGGACACACGGACAGGGGCAATCTGCTGGGCGATGAGGAGCGTCCGTGTGGCCGTGAGCGTTCGTGCGAGCCCCCCCGAAGCCGCTTCGCGGCGGGGGCTCCGCCCAAAAACACTGCTGGCTATGACCATGTTCCTCTGGGTCTTCTCTCCAGGTAAGTTTCCCGTAACGCGTCTCAATGACTTATCTGCTTGTATGCCCAATAGCCCTGTTGCCTTAGGATTAGTGGCCCGGCGGGGCGGTCACATGCCTTACTAGGCGGCTTCTTCCTCAAGTTATCTCGGTGGCAAGCAAGCATTCGGCAAGTCTCTGAGTTGCGTGTTTCTAGGATAGGATCCGAATGCGCCCACTACTGCATGAGTCAAGATTTGGGATTGGGACTCCGTTGCTGCTTTTATCTTAAAATGTTTCCCCACCCCTGCTCTCTTACCGCGCTGCTGGTGACCTCTTCCACACAGAGGGGGGGGGTATGAACTGCCAAAATTAACCCCAATACCGAAATGAAAAGGAGGTTAGCGTGGGATTCCGAATCTGCTTTCAGGAATGTATTTCGAGTTGTAAATAATATGGAGCGCTTGCACAGTTGGTTGTACGGCAGGGGTGGGTGGGTGGGTCTGGAGACCTCAACAACTGTTTAATATGAGTCACAGGCCTCAGTTAGACTTCTAAAAGCTTTATTGTATTCCTTCTTTCATTTCAAATACATAGAACTAGTTACAGCGACAAAAAATACACTATTCAGCTTCTCTTAAGTCCGTTGACGCTCAAGGTCTGAACTACAGTCGCCCCAATGGAACCGCCTGAGGATAAGAAACAACGTTTAGAGTAAGAAATAGATGCGGATGTCGCGAACATAACGCGACTAGTTGTTGTGCCGCCACTCTTGCACTAAGGTCGTGTAGGACTACCTACCAGCTACCTAGATCACCTTCAGCACGCCCACCCGTCAGAGCAGCTGACGGAGCAGTACACAGTTGGCAGGGAGGAGTTCCACCATCCAGTTCTGTAGCCCGACATGATGGGTCACATGGCTGAGGGTCGCATGCAACACTCAAAGCAGCAGCGGCTGTGAAGGATACTTCGTGGCTTTGGTGGTTTAATGGGGATGCATATTCCGCATTAGGCGGGATAGTAGGATACAAATAGGCTTTGGGGAAGATGCTCCCGCACGGCACTGATGAAGGCAACGGGGTTAGCAGCAGCAGCGGAGGCGAGGATGGAGTGGGGGATGCAGTGCAAGGTGAAGCGAATGCGGGAAGCGGCGCCAGGGGTAGTGGTCGAGGGCGTGGCGCGACAGGGGGAAGAGGGGGTAGGGGCCGGGGTCAGGGACGTGGCGGTCGCCATGCATGTCGGTTGTTGAAGACGGAGGTCGCGGTGGTAGGGGGCGTAGAGATCGCAAACAAAAGGGCCGTGGTACTTCCAAATGGGGCCAAGAACATGAAAACAACTCGCATGTCCCTTTTCTGCCGGTCTTCCCAGGGGATTCTGGGTATTTGCTTGGCATTTAATAGAAGTTGCGCAGAGGAGTCTCACGGCTTTCTTACCGGGCATTCTGGCGAAATTTACACATGGTACGACATGCCTGCCGTACGACAGGGGTGGGTCGGTGGTCCCGGGGCCTACCCTATAAACGCTTAAATGGGGTTTATATATACATTTCTTAACACCCCCCTGTTACTCCTCCAATTAATTAGTCTGCGACAATAAGCTGTTAAGGAGGTATGGCAATACAGTAATCCGTCTCCCACTATGTGCAGGTTGAAAATGAAGGGCAGCAGTGGCATGGCCGGGATGTCAATCTCCATGCTGCGGATTGGCGCCAGCGGACCTGGTGCTGCGGGGTACTGTACAACACATGGAATCGGGTCCGTGGTGCAAAAGAACCCGCGGGATCGAGAAGGTTCGAGCTGCTGGCACTACGAGCTGGCACTGCCATGTATGCCCACCGTCTCACCTGCAGGGTGGCAGTGCACTCGCCGCTGGCTGCATCCCACAACCGGATGGTTTCATCCCAGCTGCCACTGGCCAGCGACCGGCCATCCGGGCTCCATGCCACGCTGGTGGTGCGGTGACCATGTCCCTGGGGGCAGCATCATGGAAGGGCGACCGTGCCAAGGACCGTAATCACTGTAAAAACTTGTTTGAGGCCTGTTGTAGTGGCTTGTGAAACACAGGCGTCACCTCAGCAGGACGAGGAGGACAGGCTCGGCATTGTGTAAACAAGGGATGTGACCATTGCACAGTAACATTGCATGCTGGCTGAATGGCCAGGTACCCGTTCGCGGTTTAATTCATAGTCCCAAACAATTTGCAAGAGAATAGGAAATCGGCGGCATCTGTGCAAAGGCACCCAGCAAGAGGGCTCCCAGTAGATGCAAGCACCGTCCCGCCACCTTCCACAGGTCATCGATATTTAACACATCGCTGGTACCAATCCATTGTTTTGCTACGTTACGGTACTGGTGACACACCATAAAGGAGCGGGAATTGGTGTGTGGGCGGTGGTCCCAGCATTGGTCCTTCTCAACAAATAGCTTGTTGCAATTGGAATTTTGACGGGCTTGCAGTAATTGCCTAGTTTGTACATTTTGCCGTTACAGACGGCCCTGAAACTGCTTCGTGGCGGGGGCTCCGTCCCAAAACAAACAAACACTAATCAAGGACTTTGCTCGATGTGAGAAAAGGTCATATGTGGAACAATTCTTGCGTCCAGATGCCATGATGCCTGCAGGCTGCCATGTATGCCCACCGTCTCACCTGCAGGGTGGCAGTGCACTCGCCGCTGGCTGCATCCCACAGCCGGATGGTCTTGTCCCAGCTGCCGCTGGCCAGCGACCGGCCATCCGGGCTCCATGCCACGCTGGTGATGTAGCCATTATGTCCCTGGGGGCAGCATCATGCATGGAAGGGCGGCTGAGATGTCGACCTGTGTTAATGCTGGGCATCGCCATGAAATGCTTCTAGCCTTCATGCTTCCATGCATGTTCACCTGCAGTGGGGCAGTGTCATCACCTCCGCTGGCTGCATCCCACAGCCGGATGGTGCTGTCCCAGCTGCCGCTGGCCAGCGACCGGCCATCCGGGCTCCATGCCACGCTGGTGATGCTGTCGCCATGTCCCTGGGGGCAGCATCATGGAGGGGCGACCGTGCCTTGAATCAAGATAATGTAGCAAGGCTACAACAAAAGAATACCACAGGAAAACCTCACGGCATCTGGAAAGACCTTTTGGGAATGTTATGAAGCGGTTTAAGGACAAGACGTTAGGACAATGACGACCTGCCTCTTGGGGATTGGTTTCTAAAGCGAACATGCGCATCTGTAACCAAATGGCAACAACTGAGCTGACACCCCTTATCGGAGACAATGACACGCGCCATTGTCGGAGAAGGTATGTCTGGAAAGCTAACAATAATATTAATAACAATGGTTACGCCGGGCAAGCCCTGGCGTGGTTAAGGAGGTGAGGCAATGAGGCGGGTTAACCCCTGGATGCCAGCACCACCATTGACGTGCATAGAGGTCGGGTGTGTCACTATCATGCCCCCTGGGGGGTAGCCCGGTGGTTGCTCTCCAACATCCTTCTGCACCGGACTATCTTGTTGAGGAAAGTGATGGCGTGGTGGTGAGGGTACTGTTTGTCGGAGTGTCTTCAGTCTCCCGTATAGACTACTTCGAGGATGTGGATAGTGTAAGGCTTGGGATTTCGGGGTCGGCTCAGAGGGTTCCGCAGTGTGTCAATTGTGTCATTGCTGGCTGGTAGCCCCTGTACGACAAGACGGTCTGGTCTCATTTTACCCCAATCTGTTTCGTCAGTGCAAAAACGAATATGTTGTCTGAAAGTCATAAAAGTAACAGCGAAAGAGATAAAGCGCGAGGCCCATAGGGAGAAGTCCCCGCTCAAAGTGCTCACAATTGTTTGGCAAGCGCCTGAACAGGGACGCGGCGTTTTGAGCGCTAAAACTCGCGGTCCGGGTTCGACTCCCACCTAAGAAGAGAGGGAAGCCGAGGAAGAGGTGCGTCATGTGAGCGAGGGCGAGTTGAAGGGCCACCGCATATTTGACGAAGCGTGGGTGGAGCGTATAATGATATTGAGTCGGATAAAGGCGGCAAGCGCCAGGGCGATTGGGTGAGGCGCTGTACGCAAAACAGCGAGTGGCACACGGAAGGGTGCGTGGGAGGAGCGCTGTGTGCTAGAGGGCCATTTGGAGGACCGCCGCATGCGGGAGGGTGAACACAACGACTGCCGAGAAGAGAGGGGCAGTGGGAGAAGGGCTGCATGCCGGAGGATGATTGAGAGGGACGCCGTGTACGGCCCCGCTTAATTCGCCCCCTCGCCCCATGCAAACCACACATGTGCATGCAAGCACCCTAGCTTTAAACACCCCCTCACCTTATGCAATCCACGCTCGCAGCAACACTAATTAACACAAATTAATGCAAGCCTTTCAGCTTTGCACGCCTCCTCGCACCATGCATGCCCACCAAACCCCACCAAACCCCACACAAGTTGTGACAGTCCCCCCCCTGGCACACCCCGCCATGTCCGTCCGTCCGTCCGTAACGTCAAAACATACAAACTAAACCAAACTATTAATTACACCTAATAGATATTTGTTATCTACATTCAGTAAAAATAACTGCAAGCCAAACAAACTTGATTTCGCAATAAACAAATTATTGACTAGCAATTGAAAAGGACCACCGCGGCAACACCGATTAGCGCTCCTCTATGGTTTGGACTGGTACCGTAAGTAGTATTCAGTGAATTGGTAACAGCGGCGTGTCGCCAAAGGGCAACCTGTGAAAGTCGGCGGGAGCATGCCTGCATGCATCGACTGTGCTACGCGGAGCCCACACAATCCTTTGAGACGATGTTGCCGGCCTTTGCTATTCGTTTGCGCGCCATAATGCCTATGAACTGTAACGCAAACAGGTACCTCGCCTAGAAGCTAATCGCGATGTTCCGGTGCAATTGCCGAAGTCTTTAAGAGCACGATGCCGACATTGCCGAGCCTGACCTCCTCATCATTTTAGTAATGTAGGCGAAACCTAAACGACCTGCGGGATCCTAAAAGCGCTCCCATGTGGCAGTTACGCCGTCGATTTGGGTTCTGTGGCCTAATGCGTGGGTGTTATCAAGCATGATAAGACGTTACTAAGTACTCGATTGAACAGGCGTAACCTAACAATGTGTGCAGGCGTAACCTAACAATGTGTGCAATGAGTGAGGACACTTTGTACGCCATGGGTGAACAAGGCGGCCGGCCTCGGCTGGACAAGGGGCTCTGAGCTTGTCTAGCCATGCAACGAGCACTAAAACTACAGTAAACAAGGGGGTTCAGCGTCCGCGTCCGCTTACAGTAAGCAATGGGGTTCATTCAGCGTCCGTGTAAGGAAATGTGTTACGTCAACGGGTGCCGCGGAGTCACAGGAGCGCACTCCGTGCCATTCCAGTATTACGTTCTTGTACTCAACAGGAGGGGCTCCGCCCTTTTCCAGCTTTGAGGAAGCTGAACCCCCTTGTCGACTCCATCTGGCCCAGCGTCGCCATCTCCAAACAGTTTGTCTCCTCTGTTGCCAATAACGCTGGACGTAGCCATCGTTGTCGTCAACTGATAGCCTGGGCCGCTTAGATAAAAGACGTGGTTGGTTGGATGGTCAGGATCAACGCTATATTTTTTGTCAGTTTCACCTTGTAGTAATCATCGCTAGTACCGGTAGAAGAGCAAACTATACAAAAACCCAAAATCGGGTTTGTGTTAGCATTGTGTCTGTATACCAACTCTTGCGTCCAGATACCTGGCATTGCCCTGCCTGCTGCTGGCTGCCATGTATGCCCACAGGCTCACCTGCAGTGTGGCAGTGCACTCGCCGCTAGCTGCATCCCACAGCCGGTAGGTTTTGTCATTGCTGCCGCTTGCCAGCGACCGGCCATCCGGGCTCCATGCCACGCTGCGGATGGTGTCATCATGTCCCTGGGGGCAGCATCATGCATGGAAGGACGACAGTGGAATGGACCAAGGTTCATGCATACACAGTTTAGCAATGCAATCAAAAGGAAACAACCTCACGACATCACGAAGGGTTTTATGTTTGGGACCTTCGTGATGGAGTATAATAAGAACATTGAGGGGAGGGGAGGGGAGGGGACTCTCCATCCCCCGAGTTTGGGTGGACCGGTTCTTGCGTCCAGATACCTGGCATTGCCATGCCTGCTGGCTGCCATGTACGCTCACCATCTCACCTGCAGGGTGGCAGTGCACTCGCCGCTGGCTGCATCCCACAGCCGGATGTTGTTGTCCCTGCTGCCGCTAGCCAGCGACCGGCTGTCCGGGCTCCATGTCACGCTGCTGATGGTGTCATCATGTCCCTGGGGGCAGCATCATGCATGGAAGGGTGACTGAGATGTCAACCTGTGCTAATGCTGGGCCTTAGGTTGGAAGATACGATTTCAGCATGATGGACAGAGTAAGGGGACCTTCATTTTGAGGCGGAAACAGGTGAAGCTGTAATCACAAGCAAGTGAATACTATATTCGTTTAGGGGTCGTTTACATATGCGGAAAATCGTTCACATTGAATTTGGGGCCCTGTGATGCGAAAGGCGCTTGAAGCATGAGTTCGTGATGAGCGACATCATTGTGGCTTTTTGGGCGGAGCCCCCGCCGCGAAGCGGCTTCGGGGGGGCTCGCCCCCCCCCCGAAAACCTTCGCTTCGGATTATTGAGCAGCCCAACACAACAGTAACACATGCAACAGCGACACAGCGCTGCTCCATGGCACCATACGAAACCCCAACCCGGCTCCGAAAACAAGTGGACAGACGGACAGACGGACACATCCCACCAACCACCATGTACGGTTGCCCCCAACCGCACGCACGGACAGACGGCCACACGGACACTCCTCATCGCCCAGCAGATTGCCCCTGTCCGTGTGTCCGTCCGTCCGTCCGTCCGTAACGTCAAAACATACAAACTAAACCAAACTATTAATTACACCTAATAGATATTTGTTATCTACATTCAGTAAAAATAACTGCAAGCCAAACAAACTTGATTTCGCAATAAACAAATTATTGACTAGCAATTGAAAAGGACCACCGCGGCAACACCGATTAGCGCTCCTCTATGGTTTGGACTGGTACCGTAAGTAGTATTCAGTGAATTGGTAACAGCGGCGTGTCGCCAAAGGGCAACCTGTGAAAGTCGGCGGGAGCATGCCTGCATGCATCGACTGTGCTACGCGGAGCCCACACAATCCTTTGAGACGATGTTGCCGGCCTTTGCTATTCGTTTGCGCGCCATAATGCCTATGAACTGTAACGCAAACAGGTACCTCGCCTAGAAGCTAATCGCGATGTTCCGGTGCAATTGCCGAAGTCTTTAAGAGCACGATGCCGACATTGCCGAGCCTGACCTCCTCATCATTTTAGTAATGTAGGCGAAACCTAAACGACCTGCGGGATCCTAAAAGCGCTCCCATGTGGCAGTTACGCCGTCGATTTGGGTTCTGTGGCCTAATGCGTGGGTGTTATCAAGCATGATAAGACGTTACTAAGTACTCGATTGAACAGGCGTAACCTAGCAATGTGTGCAATGAGTGAGGACACTTTGTACACCGTGGGTGAACAAGGCGGCCGGCCTCGGCTGGACAAGGGGCTCTGAGCTTGTCTAGCCATGCAACGAACACTCCAACTACAGTAAACAAGGGGGTTCAGCGTCCGCGTCCGCGTACAGTAAGCAATGGGGTTCATTCAGCGTCCGTGTAAGGAAATGTGTTACGTCAACGGGTGCCGCGGAGTCACAGGAGCGCACTCCGTGCCATTCCAGTATTACGTTATTGTACTCAACAGGAGGGGCTCCGCCCTTTTCCAGCTTTGAGGAAGCTGAACCCCCTTGTTATTTTCGGTCTCTCCAGGGAAGGGGAGGGGTTGTGCTTGCATGCACCCCACCGCCCTCTACACCAGATGCAGGATTACGCATGATACCCCCTGCCCCGGCGCGGGAGTTCTGCACCTCCTCCCTCAGCCACCGGTGTGTCATCAGTACGCCTGCTACGTGCCCTCCCCAACGAAATTGTAAGCAAGGGAACAGCCATAGTGATACCCCGGCGGATTTCCATAAACGTTTTCCCCGAAAACAACAACGTGAAGCATATGTCGTGTATCGCCACAAAGTAGCAGTAAATAGCGGAATTTCCGTGGACGGCCTACTGTCCAGGCCTTCACCTGTTACATAAACGTCTGGGCCGAAATTCTTAGTTCTGGGTCTGGGTCTGACAAAGCGTCCACTTTCTGGCAAATGTCCTGACGGAAATTCCTGATGACTTCAGTGTTTTCCATTCATCTTATCCATTCATCGAAATCCAAGCTTTCAGCCTGACAACAGCAGGCATCTGTTTATCATGTACCAAGATAGCTGGGTGTCCAGCCAGATAGGGGCTGTGACCGGGACTGGGTCTGTTGGTGGTGTGATCCCATTTTCCTGTCCGTCCGGTCTGTCCATTGTGCAGAGAATCAGCCATACCATCCTTCAAAACACCTTTCCTAATTGGAACGTAAGTAGACGCTTTCATCACTGGTCTCAGCAATTTGAGACATAACAGCAACGTCGTCGACTTAAAGGCAGGATAAAGGGGTTCAGCGTCCGCGGAACATGCACCTCTACAAAAAAGGGGTTCAGCATCCATGCACCCAGGTGTTTAGGTGAACCGGTGCCATGGCGTCACAGGACTGCATGCTCTGAAATTCCAGTGGTAGTCATACGCTCCTGTACTATCAGGAGGGGCTCAGAGGGGCTACACCCTTTTTCAGCTAAAGAGGTAAAAACGCTGATCCGCCTTGTCCCTATCGGAAAGCCTGTCTAACGTCACGGCATTATTTAGCTGCCGTAACGTGTTGTCACCAACAAGGGTGCGTCATGGCATCATGATATGCCTAACCCTTACAATGGAAAGGCAAGGAAAGGTTTCATAGGCTGCTTGCATGAATCCTTGACAGTAACGCCTAGGAAAAACTGAAATAACTCACAGGGTCCCCACACCCACAAATAGCGCTTGCCGTAATCCAAGTAAGGTTCTCAAAGCATATTCGTAATGCCCGTATCGAGTTCCCTACGGTTAAAACATGCGTGGGGTTTGTTTTTTGCGGTCCTTGCCCCCATTGTAATTATCACAAACAAGTCACTGAAGAGCAAACTACCGTATACAGAAACCCAAAATCGGGTTTGTGTTAGCATTGTGTCTGTATACCAACTCTTGCGTCCAGATACCTGGCATTACCATGCCTGCTGCTGGCTGCCATGTACGCTCACCAGCTCACCTGCAGGGTGGCAGTGCACTCGCCGCTAGCTGCATCCCACAGCCGGATGGTCTTGTCACTGCTGCCGCTTGCCAGCGACCGGCCATCCGGGCTCCATGCCACGCTGTTGACATCGTCAGCATGTCCCTGGGGGCAGCATTATTATGAAAGGGTGAGTGACCGTGCCATGGACCATGGAAAGGCTTTACGAAGCAATGCTTTTAGGGTTGTGAATTTTAAAGTAATGGGTTTTTGGGGACTGTACTTACGTAACTGTAATCTGTAATTACTGTAAGACGGTGTAGTTACACCCCAAAACGCTGCCAAACGGGAAGTGTAGTTTACACTGTCGTACTCGTTGTACGGCGTACTTTTCTAAACCCTAAATCGATACAGAAACCAGGAATATCCATTACTAGAAGGGCTTGGTGGTTGATTCTGAGCTGCTTGCTTGTTAGCCCTGTAGCCTAGTGGCGAGCCATGTGAAAGTGGCGAGCCAGCATTTGCCTGCCATCGGAAAGCATATCTTTGAAAATTGCACCGAACTTTGCGCCGAGACCCCTACTGTGCCATTCCACATTTCCTGGCATTATACATGGGCTTCTCCTGGCATAGATACGCCTTATGCATGTGCGCTTAAGGAAGCGTACGCGCATGGGCCGCCAATGCCCAGTTCAATTTCTGGCCAGTAAATCCGGGCGTCCAAAGCCAAATGTCACCATTATGCTCATGTATAGAACCGGCTTCTTAGGCACATTTCCATTGTTATCTCCTCGCTAAGGCCCCATCCCGGTCCGAAAGTCAGCACCCCAGACACTGGGGTGTGAATTTGCCCCAAAGTGCCAACACTTGCTCCTAGCTGGCACTACCATGCCTGCTGGCTGCCATGTATGCCCATCAGCTCACCTTCATCGTGGCCGTGCACTCGCCGCTGGCTGCATCCCACAGCCGGATGGTGCAGTCCCCGCTGCCACTGGCCAGCGACCGGCCATCCGGGCTCCATGCCACACTGAGGATGCTCGAGGGATCATGTCCCTGGGGGCAGCATTGTGGAGTGAAGAGTGACCGTGTGTTGGACCAAAATACCATCCCATGAACTGTCATCATCATATGTCTCACCGCGCCTACCTGTTTGTGCCCCTGTCAGTTTCATGTCCTAGGAATGTCGGTTACCGTAACCTCCTGCCTTACCGGGCCTTTACCATTCTTGCTCTAGCGACTTCTGATGCTTACCTACTCCTATTATCCGTTCCCGAATAATAGCCGAATTTAAGGTTGTCTTCATAACATTCTGGTTCGTTCTGGATTATTGGCACGTGGTCCTAGGGCTGCTCGAAGTGAAAACTATACCTGAAGTTAATGCTGCGCGATGGTCAAGCACATGTATTATAAAGCTCTTTCCACTTCAAAATGCAAGAGAGCAGGAAGTCATACTACCGTGTCTGTGGGTGATTTTCTTGATTCACTTTCGCAGATGGCCACGGTGGGCATATACCTGGCTTCTTGATTGTGACTAAAGACGGACTTTATTCCGGTATCAGTCAATGTTTGTCGTGCGGAGAAGCCGCCTGCGCCCCGCTGCGTGCTGCTGGGGCCCCTGCACTGCTATTCCACACCGCGCCTAAGTCCCATGTGTCGTGCTTGCACCCGTCGCCCTTGCTGCAAGCTAAACGTCTCCGGCGGGGCTGCTGTCGTTCTCGTGCAGATTGCTTTTTGGAGATGGTAACTGCGCATTTTTATGCAGGGACTTACAAACGCTTCCCAATTTTCGCACGGAGCCCAAATTACTATTTCTTCTGCTAAAGTAGAAGCTACAGCAGCATTGTTACCTTTCGCCTAAGACGCAACGACTTATCCTTTAGTTAACTGGGGACGAGTGGGAGGACGGATGACTCAGAGAATGGATGGGAGGAATAGGAAAGGTCTGCACTGGCTAGTGTTGGAGCTTGCGAGGTGTCTTCGTTGACGCAACGTAGTAATGCAAACGAAAAAGCTATTTGGGGCTGTAAACCCGTCTCAGCTTCCTGTAAGAAAGGCTGTAGCCCCCTGCTTAGGACAGGACTGTATAACGAGCACTGGACTGACGAGGCCCACTTACGCATGTCCGCTGATATCTCATGTTCGGATGGATAGCTGGCACGCCTTGCTTGGGAAGCGTCTCCCCTTACTTGGGACGCTGACATCTTTGTAAGCGTCTTCTGTATACCAGCTCTTGCGGGTAGCTGGCCGCATTCCTTCAATACATCTTTCATCCCCATCAGCTTACCTGCAGTGTGGCAGTACACTCGCCGCTGGCTGCATCCCACAGCCGGATGGACTTGTCACCGCTGCCGCTGGCCAGCGACCGGCCATCCGGGCTCCATGCCACGCTGGTGGTGCGGTGATCATGTCCCTGGGGGCAGCATCACGAAAGGGGGAGGGGAGGGGAGCAAATGCTAAAGCATTGGACCACAGAGCCTTAAGTGCATGTATGTTGCATGGCTCTCTACCCCCCCCCCCAGCGAGATAGAGTGATGACCATCTCTTTTCTGCACCAACTCTTGTGTCAAGGTACCATGCCCGCCGGCTGCCATGTACGCTCACCGTCTCACCTGCAGGGTGGCAGTGCACTCGCCGCTGGCCACATCCCACAGCCGGATGGTCCTGTCATAGCTGCCGCTGGCCAGCGACCGGCCATCCGGGCTCCATGCCACGCTGGTGATGCCGTCACCATGTCCCTGGGGGCAGCATAATGGAAGGATGGCCGTGCCACGGACCAAAATCGCTGTGAAGGTTGTTGTAATGGTTCGTGAAACTCCGGCCCTGGTCCATTACACGGGAAAATACCAAGGCTGGTGCAAAGGCGTCTGAAGGCATGACAATCACAAGGTGTATAGGTAGGGTTGCAAACTGTATTATATTTAATACTAATATTATTTCTAATTAGAACCTTAGGATTAGGATTAGAACAAGGTCCCTAACTTTTTACTGGGGGGTATTTCGTCATGGGAATGTCTCTTATGGAACGGCTCATACTAATCCAGGCGTTTCCAGCAATTGTTATGGAGGATGGATGAGTACTTGAGGGAGCTACCAGCCAAACCCAGGCACCGACAGTTCGCATGGCCAATGACGCGCGAAATCATGCCAGGCTCCACAGGGACAGCTACAAGACCGTTTCCTCGCTGTAGGAATGCTTTTCGTAGGGCCGGGTGACGGTCAACGCAGCGGATGGATGTCAATGGGTGTCCGTTGACCATGCCTGCCGCCAGCACGTTACCCTACGAGGACCGTCAAACGCCTTAATCATGCAATGTATCTGTTGCTCATAGGCTTCGGCACGAGATTTCCGGTTGTGAGGCCGTCGCTTCCAGTGTTTGATGTCGACATGTACACCCCAAAGGTCTATTAAAAGTAAGCGGAAGGCATTAGAATATTCTAATGTGTTCTAATCGGCCTGTTCTATATTCTAGTATTATTTATTAATTTTTAATTCATAATACCAGTCGTGTATACCTCCTCGACTTTGGCATGTCCATCCTGCTGGACGACGACACCAAGTACGCGCTGGCAGCAAAGACTGACGGCGGCGCCGACTGCGTGGAGGCCTACATACGACACGTACTGCTCGTCCTTCTGGCTGTCTCTGAAGGTCTGACAGCTCCATAGTTCGGCATTCTGCCTTCACTATTGGAGCTTTGTTGCCCGTAACTTCCCCCCGCCCTCCCTAGCCAGTGTCTTCCGCGTTAAGACTGCTCGGCCTAGGTTCAATGGCTCGACAGCACACGCGATGCTGGGGAGCAGTGGCGGGCAACATGAGGGCAGCAGAGGCGTCATCAACACCACCTATGGAGGCGGCGGGAGCTAAGAACGATTGTTAGGCGGGGCATGGGCTGTAGGGTGTGAGCGCCGCTGGCGTGCTTCTGGTTTTTGGGTGGAACCCCCGCTGCGAAGCGGCTTCGGGGGCCCCTGTCCGTGTGTCCGTCCGTAACGTCAAAACATACAAACTAGACAAAGCTATTAATTGCACCTAACAGATATATGTTATCTGTTTTCCGAAAAAAATAACTGCAAGTCAAACAAACTTGATTTCGCAATAAACAAATTATTGACCAGCCATTGAAAAGGACCACCTCGGCAACACCGATTAACGCTCCTCTGTGGTTTGTCCTGGTACCGTAAACAGTGTTTAGTGAATTGGTAACAGCGGCGTGCCGGCAAAGGGCGACCTGTGAAAGTCGGCGGGAGCATGCTTGCGTGCATCGACTGTGCTACGCGGAGCCCACATAATCCTTTGAGACGATGTTGCCGGCCTTTGCTATTCGTTTGCGCGCCATAATGCCTATGAACTGTAACGCAAACAGTACCTCATCTAGAAGATAACAGCGATGTTCCGGTGCAATTGCCGAAGTCCTTAAGAGCACATTGCCGAGCCTGACCTCTTCATCATGTTAATAATGTAGGCGAAACCTAAACGACCTGCGGGATCCTAAAAGCGCTCCCATGTGGCAGTTACGCCGTCGATTTGGGTTCTGTGGCCTAATGCGTGGGTGTTATCAAGCATGATAAGACGTTACTGAATTGACGATTGAACAGGAGTAACCTAACAATGTGTGCAATGAGTGAGGACACTATGTACGCCGTGGGTGAACAAGGCGGCCGGCCTTGGCTGGACAAGGGGCTCTGAGCTTGTCTAGCCATGCAACGAGCACTCCAACTACTGTAAACAAGGGGGTTCAGCGTCCATATAGCAAGGTTGTGACTCCAAGGCATCAGTTGACTTAACTGATGCCTTGGAGTCACAGGAGCGCATGCCGTGCCATTCCAGGTCTATAAGGCCCTGAGTCGTTCGGACTCCCCTGTAATAATCGCATTCATTCCAGCGGTAATATTACATTCCTGTACGGAAGCAGGAGGGGCTCCGCCCTTTTCCAGCTTTGAGGAAGCTGAACCCCCTTGTCCTTTTGGGAATGGCTGGGACTTCAAGCCATTTGCCTCGTGTTATGCAGCATCATGAAAGCGTGAAACCAAAGTTGTTGCACAACAGGTTTGTAAGGAGGCCTAAAAGACAAAGCGTCCACAAGATGATTTCTAAAGGCTGTTTGGGGGTAGCCGCACCGCCCTATGAAGCGAGCAGGAGCTCGGTGGAGATCATAATCAATCACTAGGAGCAGAAATGGCGCTCTGACTTTTGGCCTTGCCCCAATTGACCGAGATGGAAAAGTGCCTAAAGCGCAGCGAATGGAATCCAACTTTTGCCTATAAGTAGGCATATTGACAAGGAGTAATGGGTTGCAATTACTCTAAGCTCTGCCAAATCTATGTGCTTGGGCCGGTGAAAATTTTGACTGGCCCTGTCTACACAGGCGCCTCCTGGAAAGCTTACAAGGAATTCTTCCTTATCTCTTGACTACTTATTGGGGCAAATTCACAACGTGTCTGGGGCGCTGACTTCGGACCGGGATGGGGCCTTGGCCAGGAGGTAACAATGGAAATGTGCCTAACAAGCCGGATCTGTACATGAGCAAAATGGTGACATTTGGCTTTAGACGTCCGGACTTACTGGCCAGAAATTGAACTGGGCATCGGCGGCCCACGCACGTACGCTTCCTTACGCGCACAAGCATAAGGCGTACACATGTCAGGAAACGCCCAAGCGAAATGCCGGGAAACACAGAATGGCGCAGTAGGGGTCTCAGTGCAGAGTTCAGTGCAATTTTCACCGATAGGCTTTCCGATGGTGGGCAAATGTTGGCTCGCCACTTCCACATGGCTCGCCACTAGGCTACAGGTCTAACACAGTTTATGCGCATGCACCTGTGCTGCACAAGCATTGGATTCAAGCTCAGGTTACTGGTAGCCTAGGGGTTTTAGTTGGCCCAAAACGACAGTACCCCCCTTCACCGGCATTTGTGCTCCTAGTGAATCACCACCCCACCATGAAGTTGGCATTAGGGGACTGAAGCTGACACCTACCTGTATCCAACCTTCAATCCCATACAACATTGTTCCAGCCTGAGTCGTCCCTTCATTTAAACCCTCCTTCCCACACCTACTTCATACACTCATACCAGCAGCTCACCGTAAATTTCAGCAACTGTGCGGTCCAGGTTTTGGGGGCCCCAAGCTTGTACTGAAGCCTCCATTGGGACTGAAGGCCCTGTGTGGCAGACGTAACTTGGTGCTGTGCTTGGGCCTGTCTGAAGACTGTTGTGCCGACTGGGCACCTGAGGCCAGTGGCAATCACGTTTGTAACATTCGCGGCTTTTGTTAACTCATGCTGCTGGCCGAACAACCATCGGATTGTATCATACAACTGAGAGGTCCTGCTAGTCTGCTTAAGGGCCCCAAGGTCCCTGATGACGCTGTGGCCCGCACCGCTGCTGAACACAGCGTATACGTATTCAAAGTTCCCCAGCAGCCCCTCCAGCAGGCGGCAGGCCAGGTCAGCCCCCTCCCGGTCCTCCTCCTCCTGGTTGAGCACCTGCACCAGGTGGCGCACTGTGTACTGGCAGCTGTAGCTGGCTGACCACTGCTTTGCTGCTGTCTTACCACTGCTGGTGCCCGTCTTGTTGGCGCTGGTGCTGCCAGCGGGCGGCATAAGGGCTGAGACGGAGGGTGAATGGGACAGCCCCACGGCCTTGGCCGCCTGCTGCGACACAAGCTGGACCCCCACGGGACCCAGCAAGGCGTGCCCTGGCAGCGGGTCGACCCAGTAATCGTTGAGTGCGTCATCCTCGAGCTTGCGAGCTGACAGGAAGTCATGGAAAGACTTGTGGAAGACCAGCACGTGGTTGTCACGTAGCATGTAGAGGGAGCCCAGCTTGCTGAGCAGCTGCTCAACCTCTTGCTGCGCCTCACTGGGCCGCAGCTGCTGCCCTGCAGCACCTGCCATCAGGCCGCTGCTGTTCCAGGCTGCTGCCAGCATTTCGACGCACAGCGGGTCCTGGGCCGCCAGCAGCAGCTGTAGCAGGCGCTTTACAGCCAAAAAAGTGGGGCTTTTAGGAGCACCGATGTGCTTCTGCAGGAAGTCGGTGTAAGTGGCGTAGAGGCCTTGGGGCAAGGCTGTCAGGTCCGCTCGGCTCCAGCGGTCCTTGGCCTTCAGTCCATCCAGCAGTCTGGAAAGGTGCAAGGGCAATGAACTAATTAAGGCTTGGCAAATGGTGCAAGTAATAGAAGTATGACTTAAACGTTAATGGAAGCCAAATATGGAAGGAGGCTATGCCTTTCCGAGCATCCCTTGGGAAAAGCCCTTGACGGAGAAGCTGATACCCCTTGATTGGAAAGCTGACCAGGGGGGTATAGTTGTTGCTCATCAACTAACCTTTTATGCTAAATTGTCCTGGGAGGCACCCTCGGACCCACTTACCGCTCAATATAATTCAACCAACTCACGCAAAACGTGTCGAAAAATATTTTTTTAATTTTTTAATTTTTAATCTTTTGATTTCTTTAACTTAATCATATACTCGTTACTAAACGCGGCAGTCACGTAGTGACTACAGCTTTAAAGTTAGATTCGGCAGCCCAACGGCTTCGTTCCGTACCCCGGTGACCAGGGTCACCAGGACATCTCGGTTAATGTCGCGATGTAAACTAATGTTAGAAGAAGGCGCCTTGGGCGATGCTCCAGGCCTGCTTCGACGAAGCAAGCCGCCAAGAGAGAGAGAGTGACTTCGGTGCCCCGTTTAGTTCAGCGCGGGTTTCCCTTTGGAGACTGGAAGCATGCTGGTTTCCTTAGGCGCTTGTCAAGGGTTGTGTTGCGCGCTGATGTGGTTTAGAGTGCGACTCGTGCGCCCCCTGCCGTCCTTTGGGGTGCGCCTTTTGGCGCTTGCCGCTTTTGGCGCTTGCCGCTTTTGGCGCTTGCCGCTTTGGTGCGCGCTTCTTGCTGTGCGAGCACTGTGGGCTCTGCTGAAGTGTGTAAGTCCCATCCAATCCAGTTAAGCCAAGTCCCGGTCACCCCCCATTCCGCCGTCTTCCCTCCTTACGTTAGGCTCTAGTATAGAATCACTATTAGGAGCAAATATGTCGGTGAAGTAATGTCGTTGCTGAAACCAATATAACCCCCAGGCTACCAGTAACCTGAGCTGCAATCCAATGCTTGTGCAACACATGCGCATGCGGATAAGCTGAGGTAGCCCAGTAGCCTGACGACCAGCCATGTGAGAGTGGCGAGCCAACGCTTGCCTACCAACGGAAAGTCTGTTGGTGGTGAGTATTGCATGGAATTTTGCACGGAACTCTGCATCGAGACCCCGAATGCATCAATCCTCTTACTTGGTGTTCACAATTAGCATTTCCTGTCATTTGACTACCCCATGCGTGTGCGCTTAAGGAAGTGTACAAGCCAAAGCTGCCGATGCCTAACAGCAAGTCGATACGTATTTAGCCAAATGTCATTATTCTGCACATACATGTACAAGAACGAGCCTCTTAGGCACATCTCCATTCTTCTCCTCGCCAAGGCCTCATGCCAGTCCGAAAGTCAGCGCTCTATCTAGATACCTTGTGCACTTGTCCCATAGCGTACTGACGGAGAGGTAAGGAAGAAATCCTTGAAAAACTTTCCAGGAGGCGCCAGTATAATCAGGCCCATTCAAGACGTTCATCAGCGTTAGTACGTCATTCTACCAACAGCTGAAGGCCGGTCCTAGCGCACAGATTTGGCAGAGCACTGAGTAATTGCAACCCATTACTTCCCGCTTCTGCACCTACTCATACGCAGAAGCCAAACGTAGGGCACTGCGCTTAGGGCACGTTTCCATACCGGTCAATCCGGGAAATGTCACGGGTCCTCCTACTTCTAGTGGTTCGCTCCCATGCGCCTGAATTGAAATGAGTACTACTAGTGTGTGAGAGTACTTTGGTGGCACAAAATTTGTATGCAGCGAACAGGTGCATGCACCCTGGGTTTTGCCAACTAAGGGTATAGGACCCGTCGGCCACAAACGCCCGCCGCAAGCTACAACAGGCAACCCTCACCACGAGCTCGGATAAGAGACTGCGTTGTGGCGACACAAAATATGGGTACAGAAGGATGGTTGGCAACAAGTAACCTTGCGGGGCAATATGGCGGCATTTGTTTCTGCGAGCAGCTTGTATGCACGTAGCTGGCCTTTTTGTCAGCCAGTTACAAAAGCCCTGGTTGATTTTTTGGGTACAAAGTAACGAGCGCGGTTAGGCGTTATAACTGTCATGGCGCTCCTTCCTAAGCATTTCTTCAAGCAAAGATTCAGCACGCACTGTGCAAGAGGTATCCATTTACGTAATGCAAGTTACCGTATGCATACCCTCCCAATGCAAGTTACCGTAGCTTGTCTTACCGGTATGTATTGACCTTCAAACGCTTAGTGACCACTTCCTTGTAAAACGTACCTGGCCACGTACACGAAGGAGCCCTGGCTCTTGCCCAGCAGCAGGTCCACCGCCTCACCCAGCTCCTTTTGAGTCGGCTCCCTCCAAGCATCCTTGCCAATGCCACCATCAATCCCTGCCTCAACCCCCTGCACCACCAGCCGGCTGCCCAGCTCATGAGCGATGAGCTGCCGGAGGTCTCGCAGGTGGCGTGGGTCGTCTGCTTTGATAATGAACGGGCTGAAAGCCTTGCCCAGCACACGGGTAATATGCGGCTCAGGTCGTGTGGTCAGCACGAAGCGGACGGCCTGGGGATAAGCACGACGGGCAACAAGGAGTGGTCGTCAGCAACATACATCAAAGGCCAGAGACAACAAACAGTATAGTATAGAAATGAAAAGCAGAACAGATGTAAAAATGTTGAGGACATGCAGCTAGCATGTTTCCCCCTTAATGCAGATGACTGAGCTGGGTGGTCCGGCTATCTGCAGTATAAACATAGCACACTCACCGGGGGCAGGTTGACGAAGTGCTCACGAATGAGCCGCAGCAGCGAATTCTGCGCCCCACCACCACCGCCCGAGCCCGCCAGCTCCATCTCATCTAGTGCGTCGATCACCACCACCAATGGCCGGTGCAGCGCTGCCAGCTCATCCTTCGGGAGGCACAGAGGATGGGATGGAGTACACGTGTATGTAGGGTGACGCCAATCCTCCGCAGCAAATAACATGATGCATGCCTCTACAAGGGTAGTTCACACTAAAACAACACGTAACCCGATGTGCACGCTGAACTGTGATAGCAACACAAGGCTGCTGCATGCTACACAGCCATGGACCTGATAGGATGGTTAAACCAATACGCTACTTTGAAAGGGCTAGGCCCTTGGGAACATTCCAAAGCTCAGTGACAAAAGACGGTGGGCGTTATCTTGGCGTGTGTATTGTGGATGGGGTAACTCCTTTCCATGATGGTGCAAGAAAGGTGTTTTTTTACCAGGTTAGGGTTAGTCAAAGGCGTGTAAAGCGCTTCCTTGGAAGACCCTTGCTCTGGTGAGGAGAAGGAGTATGACAGGCCATGTGCCATACATATGCCTAAGCCAGGGGGGGGGGGGTAGTTTCGCCGCAAAATGACCCATGCTTCAATATTAAAGAACTCAGCGAGAGCATTCCGATTCCACTTTCAGAATTGTAATCGGAGTTGTACGGAACAAGTTATAGGCTCCCAAAGTTGGTCGTACGGCAGGGGTGGGTAGGTGGGTTCGGAGCCCCAATGTTTTTCCTAGGTAGGTACCGTTTCGCCAAACGGATAGCAGATTTAGTACTCCTGTTATAGTATATGCATATTATGTTAAATATTAGAGCCTTTGTGTGGAGTTTGCTGGTGGCATGTCCACATGGAAGACCCTAGCTGGCCCAACATACACGGTATGGCTTCTCCAGAGGCAAAGCAAGCAGCAGGGACAGGGGCTAAGGCGGAAGGGGCCCAAAGAGGAACCAAACGAATAACATCACAAAGTTGAATGGGGAGGGCACGCAACAGGCGTACTGACGACACACCCGTGGCAGGGAGAAACACGCGTGGGCGGTGGGGTGCAAGCCCAACCTGCTACCCGGGGGAGGGGGCGCAGTCGTACCGATGGCGGGGTGATGTGAGGGACGAAATGGCAGGTGGACTGGAGCACACTTACCAACACAACCGTGCACTCAAGCATTACAGCAATGCATGTGAGGTTTAAAAGAGATGTGTATCGGCTGCATACCAGAGAGCATTGAGTCTGGCAGCCTGCCTGCCCCCCTCCTCCCGTGTGGCGAGCGACTCGGACATGATGCCAAATGGTACGCCTAACGTGAGAATGACGAAGATCTTGTGAAATGGAGTCGGATAGTGCTTTTTGGGGGCGATTTCGCAAAGTTTACAGCGTTGTCGTACAGCAAAAACGGTACGACAGGGTGGGTGGGTGGGTCCGGCACCCCTTTCTTGGCTTTCTTAGCATGGGGTTTGGTTTTTACCCCCCCCCCCCCCCCGCCTAAGCACAGTCACAAGCGCTTTTCCCTTTTCACCAAGCTGTGAACCAGCACAGACCGGTAACTCTTTGTAACAGCACTACAGCAGTCATGGTACGTGTCTTCAGCAGTACAATGTACGCTTCTGCCTGGGTTTCAACTGCACGCGTACCTTGACGCTCTCCAGCGGCCCCGCCAGCAGTGTCTGGTAGGCGGTCTCCACGTCCCGAAGTCCGTCCACCTCCTTGTCAGACAGCTCCATCAGGTGCGGGCGCAGGGCGGGCAGTGCGGAGGCCAGCTGGTAGGCCAGTGTGCGCATCAGCAGTACCGGGTCCTTCCGGCTGGGGGAGGGTGGTTAGTTGCAGCAGCACACATGCGGTCACGTACCTGGCAATGTACGAGAAACTAGGGCTGGAACGGAGTCCATCACCGGCCGGATCCAAATTCTAGGCGCTGTGTGCATCAATTGATACCCACATACATGCAAACCCGAACACAAACGTTGGCTGGTGTGTTCAAACGTGTTAAAGCTGTCTTCAGGACATACAGCGGATACATCTTGGATTGGGAGAGCAAACCAAGGCGTTAATTAATGAAGTTGAGACCCCCAGCTTACTTGTTATCGTTGTGCCTGCAGAAGTAGTGCCCAGCCACCGCCGAGCCCACCAGCTCCACACCTGTGGCTGCATCCTTGGTGAACACTTGCTTGGACACCAGGGCTGCGGCCACTGTGGACTTGCCCAGCCCCGGGCCGCCGTACAGCACCAGAGCACGGTAGTTGGGGTCATTGGGGTCCTTGGCGAGCCACTCCTCGTAGATCTGGAACAGCCAGGAACGGCTGCCTGGCAGGAAGCGTGTGAGATGGTTGGCCACATCCGAGGAGAACCTAAAGGGCTTGAGCACAGCCGCAAGCTTCCGCAGCTCCTCCTGCTCGACTGCCGAGAGGAGCTTGGGGTCAAAGTGGGCGCACAGCAGCTTGATGCAGGATAGCAAGCTGGCTGGTTTAGAAACACCGGTCGAGGCTGCCCAGTCACAGCACCTGCATGGAACACGCAGTACTGTTGTAAAAGAACCTTACTTGATGGCAATGATGGCAATAAAACTAACCCAATATCCTACAGTAAGCTAGATCTGTATTGCAAGGCTACAGAAGACGAGTCCAAAAGGGAAACATCTCGAGAATGAACGAAGCCTCTTTACCCATTATTAAACGTACAGTCCGGGCCCCTATGCAGCCCTCTACGTGCTATTGGGAGGGTGCAAAGAACTCCACCACTCACAGGCGATCTCCTAGCCTTAATCGCACGAGTCTCAAAGTTGAAGCTCGAGAGCCAAGGTTACAAGGCATTTCTCCAAGCTTAATGAGATTGCAATAATTGCAATAGTTTATTCCAAATATCGCTAACACTGAAGCCAAATGTTTTTTCCACTTCAGCATGTCCAGGCCGCTTTCGTACTATAGCCGTCAGCCTGTCACTCACCGCAAGTAAAAGCGGTAGTACTCCTCCGTCTGCGCAAGACCATTGCCGTCAAGGTCTATGTGCCCCTGCAACAGCTGCCGCAACAAAACCTTGGGCTGCTCCCAGCAGCCTGGCCCACCCAGCACCTCCGAGGCTCCCAGGTGGAGGAGCTGCGAGGCGGCAAGGGGATAAAGGGATAGGGTGCTTGTTAGAGAAGAACATGGTACTGTCAAGCGTATTCGACCACACTTTCACCATTATGTGACTTATATCCGTGCAAAGAGTAGTTTGATGCTAGGATACAGTGAATCAGCAATCAACGGCATTCAAGGAAAGGGTTCTAAGGCAGCTGAAAAAGCTGGGCCAACCCACAGAAACCGTGTGCTGCAACGAGAGGTCATGACGTGCCTAGCCTTCGGAGGACTACCCTGCTGACATGTTACCGTATTGCCCATAGTTTACTTTACATGCGTTTTGAAGCCTATCTTCAAGCCCCAATCGACAACACGGCAATATTTTCTGCCCCATATGACCTTCTGTTGGCGAATTTCTAGCCCCAATTGACAAGAACGAAACACCCCTCAGCCCCAATTGACAAAACGCAGAAAAACATGTGTCAATTCAAATACCGGTATGAGCAATACGGTAATGGCCTGATTGTTTGTTGGATGCCTGAGTCATAGTTATCTTCAGGGATATTGATGAACATTAACAGCAATGCCGAGCGCACCTTGGTTGCTCGTTCCTTGACAGCCGAGGCTAGGTCGGGCACTTCGTCGTTCATTGTGGTCAAGACCTGCAGGCAAGGAAGGCGTGCGTGCTGGCCTCTGTACATGTATGCAGGCACGCTCGCGTAAGGACACATATGCATAATAAGCTGCTGCGGTAATTGCACCACCGTCCTTAATCATGAAAGCCACGCACCCTCCAATCCTGCGAGAGCACCAGCTGCAAGGACAGTCACAATTGCATAATCACAAGAAGCGCCAACTGCCTATGCTATCTACTGCCTTAAGTCAAGCCTGGTATACTTGAAAAGGCAATATGTCGCTCTCCTTGCAAACACTTACCACGTCGGAAAAGGTATCAAAGCTAACGCTTTCAGCATTGAAATGCTGGTGCCAAAAACGCTGCAGCTCTGATGGCAGGTTGTCGGGCAACTTGACGTGCCGCGCCTCCTTCGCCAGGGCCGCTAGCGCAGATTCGAGAATCTGGAATGGGGAAGTAAGATGTGTGGCGGGTAGCCACGGCACAGCTCGTATGACCTTTGAACCAATTTATTTTGCTATCATGTGCTATACACCAGCAGTGTACTTCTGCCCAGCAACCTATCGTATGTTGCAGTCCAACACCAAAGAACAACAGGTGCAAAAGCTGCAAAGGCATTCGGAGACGCCCTGCCGCCTCACCCCACCTGCGCCTCCAGCCCCATGTGCGGCTTGAGCTGTCGCAGCAGGCTGGGGTCGGCCGCCACCACCTCTATCGCCTCCTGCACGTCCTCGCTGCCGCCCAGCCGGCACAGCTCAGCCCGCAGGGCAGGGGAACCACCGTCGTCGTAGGTCACAGCAGGTGGGGGCGGCAGGTTGCGCTTGATAGCAAGTGCCATGAGAAGGCGCTGCAGAGCAGGACATGCGGGGGCATAAAGGTCCCAACTTCAATGGATGTAATGGATGCCCGTCTGCTACTTCTGCACACCTTGCAAGCCTCACAACGTGCACCGTTGCAGCAGGGACGACTACCCAAGGCTAGATCCACATCATACAAGTCACAGAAAACTTTGGATAATCACATTCCTGCACCCAACACTGTCTCAGAAACCCGTGCAAATTGATTTACGGTACTAATATAGCGCAGGATCCAACATTCACAAAAGCAAGGACCCAAGCAATTACACGATCCACCACCCACCTGTGTCCGCTGGGTAACCTCGTAGTTGTGGCTTACGAAGTCATCCTTGTCCCTGCCAGCGTGGACCTGGCGTATAGAGAAGAGGATGGGAGGACTAACTTAATAGAAAGAAGGGCTGTGTAGAGATACTAGTTTGAAACAGTGCGCGGGACTTCCGATCGGCCTGGATGCCAACCTTCCCCTGAATATACCGGTATAGTGCTGTGCAAATCCGTGTGGTACCAGAACTGTACTTGGAAGGACACCTGGACCTATGTGCTCCGCATCCCCTGGAAACTGCCCCCCCCCCTATTTTCACAAGTGCAATAAGTATCTCTGCTGTGGACAGGCTCAAACGTCGGCTGGCGTACATGCACTTGTCCAAAGTGTACCCCAGCGGCAACAATTCAATAACCCAACCCCCCGTGTGACTCTACGTCGTATTCCATGACAACCATGTGCTAAATGCTCGGGCCTGGTTAAAGGTAAATTCGTTAAAAATGTATGTGCACTGTTGTGCATGCGCTGTCACGATGGGGGCAACACACGTTACGGTACTGAGGTACCACTCCAAAGTGCAATGCAAGTACCCAGCATCTGTGAGTCCCAAATTCATCCCCAGGGGCCTTGCTCCACTGATTCATAAGAGCAAGCTTCTCCCTTCTCCTCAGGTAATGTATCCGGACGTTGCTTGCTTTCCACGTGCACCACTCGATGCTCACCATTCTGTGCACATCCACGGCCGAATCCCTCCACTTCCAAACCACCTCCTGTCACATCCTTGAATGGGGTCTGACACTATGTTACTCCTGCCGTTAGTTGGTGCATGTCTACCCCCTTTCTGGAGCCCCCCAGCAACTCACCAGCCGGGTCAGGAAGCTGTTCTTGCCGAACTCGTCCAGGAAAGCCGCCGCATTGTTCAATGCAGTTCTCAACTCCTGCCATTCGTTCACCACCTTTGCCCCCGCGTCCTTCTCCCAGCCCGCATCCTTTAGCACATTGTGCGTCCACAGCACCGTGTCCAGCAGCCTCTTGCAGTTGGCCGTATTGGTCACTGCACCATCTGCACGCTTCTGGATAAGCTTCAGTATGGACTTGATGGTGGAGTTGATGCCAAAGGGGTCGGGCACGATGGATATCACTGTGATGAGTGCACCGGCGCCATTGGCAGCTTTGGCATAAGCGGTCTGCACGGCACCCTCACGGATTTGGATGCCCTCGGGCGAGATGGTGTCGCTGGTTCTGGAGGCTGCTATGCCAACAGTGTCACCAGTATCGGCATTGGTCGTGGCTGCTGCTCCGACAGGTTCCTGGGGGGAGGGAGGATGCATGACGATAGGGTCACTTGGGCAACAAAGCAAACGGTTGGGATTTGGTCAAGCACTTTAGGGTTACTACAAGCACGTTTCATGAGCATTCCATGCCCACAATCCCATGTATTAAGGGTGGCAGGACGGAGGCCAGGGAAAAAAGCCCATGTATTAAGGGTGGCAGGACGGAGGTCAGGAAGAAGGCATAATATGGAGGGGTGTGAGGGGTGCGGGTCGGCATGTGAAGTACTGGGGCAAGAGCACGTGTATGTGTTCAATAGCAAGGAGTACAATGCAGTGGAGCGAAAGGCTAGAGGTGTTGGAATAGGTAACGGGTGGCAGAGTTACAGGAAAATGTGAGGCACGAGCGGCAAGTGGCGAGGGGTAACAACGAGGCATGCAGCGTAAGGGAACTGGGCGAGGGAAAAGGGCAAGTGAAACGGGTCAGAGGAGCTAGGCACCGCCTAAATGAGTCATGCGATTAATTGGATTGGAACATTGCTTCAGACGTAGATAGGATACCACATACTCGATTGGTATTGTCAGACTCCGCGACACTCTCGTGAATCTTGGGTGTACCGGAGTCCGTAGGGGCTGCTATGCCAGCAGCATCACCATCACTGGCATTGGCAGACTCGGCTGTGGCTGTTTCGATGGGTTCCTGCGGGGAGAGGATGGTGGTGGGGTAGTTTGGAGTGGCGCAGGTCACTTAAGAGGAGCTACGCGCCGCCTTATGCGTTTACGCGGATGCGCACATTGCAGTCAGAGCATTGAATGGGCACTAATTCTTTGTCTAGCAGTGAACATACAAAGGTCTTTTCGTTGAAGACAGCTCTTGGCATCACACCTCATCACCGAAACACGCAAGGAAGCGCAAGCAGCTGCTCATTCTTGCGAACGCCTGCGGAACGCGGAAAGAGTCGAACGCAAGGTAGGGCCCTTACGGCCTTACTGGAACTCAGTGTACCGGTACTTCGCTTCTTAGGGTAAAGCGTGTGAAAGCGGAATGCGTCGCCAATACACCTTTATTCCCTTGGAAGTGTAGGGCTGCAGCCTAAGCCGCAAGCAAAGAGCCGAGCGCAACAAGCATGCCAGCAATTGTTGAGCTAACCGTACTACTCTTTGGCTGCTCAAGCGGCCTTTTGTAGCGGTAATCCTTGTCAGCTCGCTTAGCAAATCAAATATGCAAGGGTGGTGCTTTTGATTGGTTCCAGACGCATGATCGGTGCTGGGTCCCTGTTCTCTGTCAGGCCTTCCGTACGGACAGGCTGACAGAGAACGCCAAATTTAAGGCTTTGTATTGTAATCTCAACTCATGGGGTCATGGGTGGCTTTTCATAGAGTTGTTTGCGAGCTCTGCACACATTCTTTGTAGCCCTAATCATCACCACGTTGCTTCAACTACAAAGCCCAGACGGTTGTAATGCACCGTTTTTCGAAATTTGTTCATTGCTTTTTTCCTGGCCCGCCCGGCCAGGCGGCTGAGGGGGAGTGAAAAATGTTTGGTGAATTTTTTCGGTATATCTGATGTTTGAGCCTCACAACCAGCGTTTATTTATGTCTGTCTATACTTTCGTACATAGGCGGCACCCAGCAATGAGGTCCGCGGCCCACGCAACAAGCACCTTTGGATGAATTCCCCCAAAATCGCGCAAATTGCTGTTTTCCAATGGGTATAAATTGTTTTCTATACATCAGCAGTGCAGCGCACGCGCTGGGCGCGTCCAGATGTGCTGGACCTGCCGGCATGCAAGGCATCGGCAGTGGCCAGGGCATGGCCGTGACCTAATAGCCGCGCCGTTTATTTGTTTGTGTAAACCTTTACCAAAAACACAGGTTGTTCAAGGCCCCACGTACGGGTGTGAGGCTGTGCGGAAGTGCACTGCTTTGCGCAAGCGCCTAGCTCCGTCGTCCATGCTCGGCGATAACGTGTATGCCTAATACGAGGAGGGGCTTGTGTCGCCAATGCGCTGCCACTGCTTCACCTTCACATACCTAAGCACATAGCTGGCGAGCTACCAGTCGATGATGCAGTGCGTACAGAGTCAGCATACCATCACATCATAGTGTTCGTGACAGCAACGTTAGGTGAAGTCGATGTCACACGTGATTAATACATGTCGGGACCCTTCACCCCCGTGCCTCTTCACCCGCGTGCTCTACACCGGAGGCCCATGCGCCGTAACATGAACTACAGCTAGGCTATGGTGCATAACATGCATGACAGCCATGGAGAAGCTCTACAGGATACCGGTATTAGCCCCAAGGGCATAACTCATCGACAGCTTGCCGCCCTGCTCTGCCCGCCTTTCGAGAGGTTCTTCAAGCAGTCTGTGCAGGAGAACTTAAGCTCAGCCACAATGCCCAGGCGGCTGAGCATGCTCATGGTGAGATCGCCGACAGTGCCGCTCAGATCGAACTCGTACAGCATGCATGCGGCATAGTAACTCTTTAGCCAAGGCAGATTGCATGACATCAGGCAAGATAGCACGAAATTGAAGTTGCACCAATTGGCACTAAGAACAGAGATTGGGAAGAGACGGCAAACCACGTGCACTTCAGTAAGAATCATGCAACCAATCATTTCCTATAGCACCCAACAATACAAATTGAGGTGCAACTTACACGGCTTAGGACGGCGATCCTGGGTGGTACAGGTGGGCGGTGCCGCCATACGGCAGTTATCAGCCCGTACCGTAGCCTAGTTCGAGCAGGGCATAGCCTACGCCGTACCCACTTCCGCTTGTGTTACATGTCGATAGTTTACTTCCGCTCGCTTCCGCATATCGATCTTAAATAGATACAGCAACACCGTACATACACGGTAGGGTGCCGCATTGGGACACACAGCCCTAGCCTGCGGTCGCATACACCCTAGCCGTAAGGGAAGGGACAGAAGCGCAGTAGCCTCGTCCTCACACGGGCGCTGCGTGCCACACTGCTGCTCGTACTAGTCCTGGCAATTTAGGGCGGTTACCGGGGGTGGGCAACACTTGGCTTCACGCGAAGAAAAGTAATGCCCCGCCCGCCGAGTGCCGGCCGGGAATGGTTGTCGAATTCCCATACGTTGCACCAGCCGCATGTTCCAAAGCCCTCTAGTTACGACCCTTCATCGTCTAACCCGCCACCCAAACCCAATCCTGCATTGCATAACCTCGCAATGCACTCACCCGTACATGCCTATCTCACGCCCCACACAAAGCAAACCCTCGCCACACGTCTTGCTCCAGCAAATCCCACCACCAGCAGCACCACCGTCGCCGTCATATCCCCCTCCTCTTCTCTCCCTGCCCTACGTCGTCGCCGGTATGCGGTCCTTGAGGTAAGCCAGCACCGCCGCCGTGCCTCGCTCCAGGATGGGTCGCCGCAGCGTGCGCAGCGGGTTGCCCTCCAGCCCCAGCGAGCGCAGCGAGGAGCCCAGCAGGCCCAGCTGCGGGGGCAGCGAGGCCAGGCTGTTGTTGCACAGGTGGAGCTCCTCAAGCCTGAGAGAGGGGGGAGGGAGGGAGGTAAATGTTGGGATATAGGGTGCCGAAAATGGGGGGGGGATTGGAATGGATGGGGCAGGGAGAGTGTTGGGAGGAGTGAGGAGGTGCTGAGAAGGTGATTACAAAAACCATGTTTAGAGTATCTATAAAGCCTTTCCAAGTTTCCGTGCTTCATCCCGAGCCCTACGATACATAACTCCCCTCGCTAGCAGGCCCCCACGCGCTGGTAACGTTGGCTGCCTGGCCCCCCCCCCCTGATGGCACGACCCGGATCCCTTGATTGGTCACAATTGGTCACCCGGCCCTAGCGCCCATGCCCCCCACACCTACTTTGTCATGTTGGCCACCTCGGGTGGCAGCTGCTCCAGCCGGTTGGACGCCAGCAGCAGCACCCGCAGCCGCGGCAGCTGCAGCAGCTCGACGGGGAAGGCGGGCAGACCCGTCTGGCTCAGGTCTAGGGTCTGCGCGGACAGGACGGGACGGGGTTGGGGGGCAGGGTGGGGCTCTTGCCAGGTCAGCAGGGTGGGGAGCCGAGGTGCGGCCTAGGCTGATAGAGAGCCTGTCCATTAGAGTTTAGACAACCATGCTGTCTCAATGGCAAGTGTGGAGTGTCCAACAGCACCCACCTCCAGCGCTGGCAGGCCGGCGAAGCAGCCCGGAGGCAGAGCGCCGGCAGCGGGTACACCTGGGGGCCATGCAGGAGGGAGCAGGAGGGGGGGGAGCAGGGGGTGACGGTTCGCATGGGCGACTGGTTCGTAAGGCGTACGACGCCTCCTAGACCCTCCTACCCGCACTTGCTTTCATTGTAAGGATCCTGCATCTCTTGGCCTTCGACCCCCAGTCGCGCACCCGCATGCAGCAGCCACCGCCCAGCTCAGCGACCCGCCTGACAACTCCAGGCGTACAAGCCCCGGGCATGCGGCGAACGGGTTGGGCGGCAGCTGCCGTAGCGCCGGGTTGTTGCGAACCTGGGAAGCAGTTCAGGCGTTCAGGACGATGCGAAGAGAGGTGTCAGGACACAGGCAGGAGAACTGGGAATCAAGTTGCAGTCGACACCGACCCATGGGACTCTCCCGCCCACCTGCAGCTCTGTCAACGCTGGCAGGGCCCCCGGCACTCCCACCGGCAGCGGCCATGCAGTCAGCCCCATGCCATTCAGCAGCAGGCACCGCAGCCTGGGCAGCCGACACAGCCCCCCGGGCGGCGGCGGCAGCACCGAAATCTGATTGCTGCTCAGGTCTAGCCGCGTCAGGCTGGGACCCGCGTCCCACACCTCCGCAGGCACTTCACGCAACCCAGCACGCGCCAACAGTAACTCCCCTCCCCCACCGCCGCCGCCTCCGCCACCACCGCCACCTCTGCCGTAGCCGGCGACTGCGGCGCCGCCGCCAGCGGCGGCAGCGGCTGCCGCCGCCACGCCACCCAGCTTGAGCTTCCTCGCCGCTTCCGCCGCCATCTCTGCGCCGTCCAGACCGAAGACGTTGCCTGATCGGGCAGCGGAGGCGGAGTGCAGGGCGCCCAAGCGGCTCGGCGGACCGGCGGGGGGCCCGGCTGCGGTGTCGGGGTCAGCTTGCCGACTGGCTAGGTACTTGAGCAGCTGGGAGATGGGGCCTGCGGGGCGGTCGACAGGTGGAGAGCACCAAAGGAAAACTCACCGTATAGCAGGCAGGCAGACAGGGGCCGGGCAGGCAGCGGCAGGAGGCTAGACGGATGGAAGATGGGTGTTTAGGAACAGCCGGGTATCCAAGCGCGTGTGCTAACGGACCTCACACACCCGAGCCCAAAGCCCCGTGCCCTCACCTGCCACCAGCTCCCTGCGGATGCTCTTGAGCGGGTTGCCGTCCAGGGGCAGACTGCGCAGGCTGGTCATGGAGCCTGTGCGGGGGTGGCAGGGTGGGGGCACTGAGACAGCCGAGGCAGCAGAAGCAAGGAGGGGCAGCCAGCACGAGGAAAGGGCACGGGTAGCAGGTAGCTAACACCCTCATCGCCGGACTCGCCTTGCAAGCTATCCTGGCCCCATGTCCATCGGTTGCCCCCCCACTCGGTTCAGGTCACCCCCCCCCTCCCCCCCACGCACGCCTTCACAAGCCCCTTCTCCCCTCAACACCCCAGCTCCTCACCAAGATCCGCCGGCAGGGATCTGAGGTCGTTGTTAGCCAGGTCCAGCAATCCCAGCCTCAGGTCACACAGCTGCGGGAGGGAGGAGGGGGAGGCAACAGGGCGTCAGCGGCTTTCCAGCCCAGCGCGGCTCCTTGTGCCCTTCAGTACGCCCAAGCCCACCTCACAACATGGGGCGGCAGCTGCATGAGCCGGTTAGCACAGCGCAGGATCCCACTTTCCCTGCTTGTCCCGCCTCTCCTACCCCTGCTCCTCCGCCTCCATCTCCCCTGCTACCCGCCTGCCCACCTCTGCCGGCAGCTGTGTGAGCCTGTTGTCGCGCAGCTCCAGGGTCCGCAGCGCCTCCAGCGGGCCCAGCTCGGGGGGCAGGCAGGACAGCTGGTTGCGACCTGCGTGCAATGCAGGCAAACGGAGGAATGAGGGGCGGGGTGGGGAGGTAGGGGTGCGGTCTAGCAGGGGTTCTGGACAGCTGGCCTGCGGGAGTCGGGGCTGGCGGACTGCCGGCTGCCCCACCATCACCACCCTGGCGCACCAACCTCGCGCACCCACCCACTCCTCATCACATTTTGAATAACAACCAACGCTCTGTATTGTGGCACCCTGTCGCCTCCTATCCCCATTGCTTTGCCCTAACCTGTGGCTTCCTATGATACGGCATGGTCTTTCACCCCTCATCCCACCCACCCAGGTAGAGCTCCACCAGTGCCGTACAGCCCGCGATGCTGGGCGGCAGCCCCGCCAGCTTGTTGTCCCGCAGGTTGAGGGAGCGCAGGCGGGCCAGCAGCCCCACCTCCCGCAGCAGCTGCCCGCGCAGCCGGTTGCGGGAGAGGTCCAGATCGGTCAGGGAGCTGGGTTGGGAGGGGATGGGAGGCGGGTTTGGGGGTCAAGGATAGTGGTAAGGTGTTAGGGCAGTGGTCAGGGCGGGGCGGAAGGGTGCAAAGGAGGGGGAGGCGGGAGAGACGCATCATAGGACGTGTCCCTCAGTCCCACTGTCCTCTTCAATTTATTTCCCCGCCACCTACCTCCTCTCCAACCCACACCCAAGCTCCATGCCCCGCAACCCGCGCATCCAAGCCCAGCCCCACCACCCCTCTCTCCCTCTCCTGCACCCTGTCAGCCCGCCCTGCCGTACATGCATGCGCGCACCTCAGCCCCGGCATGATCAGCCCCGGTAGCTCCACTAGCGCATTGCCCGCCAGGTCCAGCCTTGTCAAGCTGCCCGCCTCACTCAGCCCAGGAGGCAGCTCCTCTAGCCGGTTGTCAGGCGCCGTGAGCAGCGCCAGGGAGGGCTGCTGCCGGCCGCCCAGCCCGGGGGGGAGTCGCGGCAGGGCGTTCTTGCCGGCGTGCAGCACGGCGAGGGCGGGCAGGGCGGCTAGGGTGGGTGGGAGCTCCTGGGAGGGGAAGGTGGGGGTTAGTGGAGGTGCAGGAGGGGAGTGTGGGTGCGAGGGAAAGAGGCACAGGATGGAAGGAGCTCCCCGAGCTGTGCCAGGTGGTTTTAGCTGCACCCTGCCCTAGGGGTACCGATAACCCCCCAGGGGCCGCCACCCACCTGCAGCTTGTTGTTGGAGACGTCCAAGAGCTGGTTGGGGGCGAGGGGGGGCCAGGCCAAGGGCAAAGGCAGGGGTCAAGGACGTGTCTGCAGTTGAGTTGGTGTTACGAGTGAAGGCGACATGGCAGGCGATTGGCAGGCCGGTAGCCACATGCGGCGAGCAAGCCACATGACGAGCTTAGGGCTGCTGGTTGCAGCAGCATACGTGCACTTCCCCCTCACTGTTCCCTTCGTACCTTCAAGCAGGAGAGCATCGACAGCGTCATGGGCAGCTCTGCTAGCTGGTTGTGACTGCGGTTGGGATGGGAGTTCAGGTTCGGGGAGGGGGGCTTAAGGGTTGGAGTTCCGAAGCTTGGAAACGGCTTTTACTAACAACCATGGTGATCTGGGTCGGGCTGGGTACGGAGCGTCCGGACAGGCTGCAATAGGCTGCAAGGCAATCGGGTCGTCTGAGCTCAACCCCGGCCTACCTGACGTCCAGGTGCGTGGGTGTGGCTAGCGTGCCTATCTCGGCTGGCAGGGAGGCGAGGGAGTTGCGGGACGGGTCCGCCTTGTAGAGCTCAGCGACCTGGGGGGAGATGGCGGTGGAGGGTGGTGGCGGTGGCGGTGGTGGTGGTGGTGGTGGTGATTCCTTCGTCCTGGAGCCAAACCACTTCCCTGTTGCCCCCAAACCCAAATACAGGGTTGCCATGGTTGCTTGCTCCCCCGCTGCACGGCTTCCAGCAGCTGGCGGAAAGCTACTGCTCAAATCCCGAAGCATACTTCCGATGTCACCCGCGTGTCCCCACCTCCCACCACTTGGCCTCATGGCCCGGTAACGGCTCCTCGGGGTTATACACCGCGGCAAGCCGGCGAATGTCCCTGCAGGTAGGGCGCCAGCTGCTGAAGCCCCTGGGAGCCATACAGGGGAGAGTAAGCAGGAGGGAAGCGGTCAGCACAAGGCGTGTGACGCCTCATAGATCTTTCCTGCAGGCTCATTACTGCAAGCACTAACGTAGCTGCTTCAGTGCAGTGATCCGGCAATACTCGGTCTCCGGGCCTAAGCCGTGCACTCCACAAGCAGCAGCGACCAACCCCAGCCCAGCCCAGCGACCCACCGGCCAACTCCCGTCCGCACCCCGATCTGCTAAGTGGTTGTAGGGCAGATATGACGGCGGCACGGAAGGGGGAGGGAGCGATGGATTGCAATGGGGGTGGGTCGAAGGCCATACCAAACCATAGAAAACCACAGGTTAGGGGAAAGCAATGGGAGTAAGACATGGCAGGGGGCCACAAATGACGAGTAAGTGATGGCGGAGGAAGGTCCAACGTGCAGGTCATTTAGTCATCA